GTACAGCACAGGAAAGTTTCTAGCAAGAGTAAAAAGTCTGCATCTCTGATGGCAGCAGTGCACTGTTGTCTCCAATTCTCATCATATATAAAAACTGAGCAGGGTCCTGCATAATAATCCAGCACAATTCTTAAGAAATGAGAGGGGAAGGCAGTAGCTGGCAGCAGTGTAAGCCTGGTTCAGGGAGGAAGCTGGAATACACAGAGAAAAGCCTGTGCTTGGGAATTAAAGTTCATCTAGTACACTCTACTTCTCTCTCTGTCCTATGGCAAGTGTTCTTCGTACTGAGTGCTCTACTTGAATTTGTCTTGATGTTAAGTGAACCATACTCTGATAGCAGTAATAGCTATTGGGAGATGTTCGTTAATTAGTTACAGATGCTGGCTAGTTAAAGGAAGACCTTTGTTTCATGCCTCAGAGAGTATCTGGCGTGTTTATCATAGAATCATAGAATCGTTAGGGTTGAAAAGGACCTTAAGATCATCTAGTTCCAACCCCCCTGCTGTGGGCAGGGACACCTTACGCTAAATCATATCACCCAAGGCCTCGTCCAGCCTGGCCTTAAACACTGCCAGGGATGGAGCATTCACAACCTGCCTGAACAACCCATTCCAGTGCCTCACCACCCTAACAGGAAAGAATTTCCATCTTATATCCAACCTAAACTTCCCCTGTTTAAGTTTTAACCCATTACCCCTTGTCCTGTCACTGCAGTCTCTAATGAAGAGTCCCTCTCCAGCATCCCTATAGGCCCCCTTCGGATACTGGAAGGCTGCTATGAGGTCTCCATGCAGCCTTCTCTTCTCCAGGCTGAACAGCCCCAACTTCCTCAGCCTGTCTTCATACAGGAGGTGCTCCAGTCCCCTGATCATCCTCGTGGCCCTTCTCTGGACTTGTTCCAACAGTTCCATGTCCTTTTTATGTTGAGGACACCAGAACTGCACACAATATTCCAGGTGAGGTCTCACAAGAGCAGAGTAGAGGGGCAGGATCACCTCCCTCAACCTGCTGGTCATGCTCCTTTTGATGCAGCCCAGGATACGGTTGGCTTTCTGGGCTGTGAGCACACACTGAAGGCGGCTCATGTTCATTTTCTCATCAACCAACACCTCCAAGTCCTTCTCCGCAGGGCTGCTCTGAATCTCTTCTCTGCTCAACCTGTAGCTGTGCCTGGGATTGCTCCGACCCAGGTGTAGGACCTTGCACTTGGCATGGTTAAACCTCATGAGGTTGGCATCGGCCCACCTCACAAGCGTGTCAAGGTCCCTCTGGATGGCATTCCTTCCCTCCAGCGTATCAACTGAACCACACAGCTTGGTGTCATCGGCAAACTTGCTGAGGGCGCACTCAATCCCACTGTCCATGTCACTGACAAAGATGGTAAACAAGACAGGTCCCAACACCGATCCCTGAGGGATGCCACTAGTTACTGCTCTCCAGCCAGACATTGAGACATTGACCACAACTCTGTGTGCAGCCATCCAGCCAGTTCTTTATCCATGGAGTGGTCCATCCATCAAATTGATGTTGCTCCAATTTAGAGACAAGGATGTCGTGTGGGACAGTGTCAAATGCTTTGCACAAGTCCAGGTAGATGACATCAACTGCTCTACCCCTGTCCATCAGTTCCGTAGCCCCATCATAGAAGGCCACCAAATTGGTCAGGCAGGATTTCCCCTTAGTGAAGCCATGCTGGCTGTCACCAAGCACCTTGTTGATTTTTATGTGCCTTAGCACGCCTTCCAGGAGAATCTGCTCCAAGATTTTGCCAGGCACAGAGGTGAGACTGACTGGTCTGTAATTCCCTGGGTCATCCATTTTCCCCTTCTTGAAAATGGGGGTTATATTTCCCTTTTTCCAGTCATTGGGAACTTCACCTGACTTCATGATTTTTCAAATATGATGGCCAGCGGCTTCACAACTTCGTTTTGATTCACAAGCCTTGCTTGAGTACTGCCCATCAGAAGCAGAGTGTTTGGGAAGTTTCTAGTAAGACCTCTGCTGACTGAGGAAAGGTTGGCAGATAGGAAGGGAATGGGCTCCTGAGCATCTCAACTGGCTGGAAATTTCCAAGTGACATAGCGGAAGGACTTACATTGATGTGAAAACCTTGGCTGTATTACATGGATGTAAATCCATCAGGTTAGTTTGCTTGTCTGTATGATTTTTTGAGGTTTGACCCTAAAGATCCTGGTATTGGTGAAGTTATTGAAATGCTGAAGGATGTTGACTAAATATTTGAGAGGTTATTGTGACCCCTAATAATGTGAGAAATAGTTAAGTGTAAATGAACTGGTACCTGAGCACTTGTATTAGATTAAGACACATTAAGAAATAGACACAAGTTTGTAAATAAGGCTGCTGTAGTGACTGAAGCACATTTCAGGTGTCACATCTTGGAATTTCTTCAAGAAGGGAACCGTCTGCAGCTATCATTTTGCTCTGCCACACAGAGAAATCATTAGTGAAAAGTTTTTGCTTTCTAAAAGTACTTAAAAACCTGTAAATGATAAAATAATAACCTTATCTTTCTGCCCCAGCTTCAATGAACCTGTAGTTTTTTGGGTGAATCTTGAGTGTGGCTGGTCAGAGCAGAACCTAATGACAGCAAAGCACAGGTAAGCCTTGCTGCATCTCTGTTCAAAGGCAAACACCTCTTGATAGGATTTCTTGCTCAGCAAGTTATGGACATAACCCATACGAGCAATCCCTAGTCAAAACTTTATGCCACCAACAACTAAATCACTAGAAAGTGTGGTGAGCAAGCAGCAGCATCCCAGTAGCTGCACTGGGCTTCCAGACCAGTGTCAACATGTTCCCATGGGAATTCAGAGAACAGCAATCACAATGGATTATGGATTTTACAGATGTCATGTAGATATTAAAATTATTTCAGAAACAGTAATAATCTCTTAAAGTATATTCTACCAGGAACAAAATTATTAATGAGTAAAGTAAGTAAAATACAGGCTTTTATGATTACTTTTTGCTAAGAACAAGTATTTCTTTACAGCCTTGCATAAAGAGCAATAATCACTTTGCAGGTGCCTTTTGCATGTCCTGTTTTGGTGATTATTTGGCTGATGCAAACAAGGAGACATGCACTTAACCTGCTTTGAGGGAAACAACATCTCATACCAGCAGTGATTTCTTCATTCACAGCACGCTCACAGCAGCAGGAAGAGCCCAGAGCACAGCAAGGAAGAGGCATGGGAACACAGACCCTCTAGACAGGTAGCCAGCGTCTGTGGAGCTGAGTACCCTGCTTGCTTTTTTCAGCTGCTTACAAGGGTCAGCCCACACTGCATAACATATGTGCAGTGAAAGGTGGTAAAAGTGCCACAGAAGTGGCACTTCAACCTACTGCTGTTTAAACAATCATTGGCAGGGAGTGACCCCTCCCTTGGACTTTATGAATTCTTGTTGTGGTTTGGTAGTGTTTTACATGGTTGAATTAGGAGTCAGAGATGCAGTACCCTGCTGAAGTCACCAATGTGTAACAGACACCTGCAGATGCAACTAGCAGAGGACAGAACACGAAGCCTCGCCTTATGCAAGTTTTCCAACAAGAAACTGCCACAGTCCTTCCAAGGGTACATTTTCTGGCAAGAACAGTAAGTTTGACAGCGTAAGTGAACACTGCGCTTCAGCTAAGCATGCACTCCTACAAATGCAGGGTTACATAGATGTAGTATTGATTTACGATTTCTACCAACTGACATGCAAGCAGTGAGGAGAAGCAAGACACGCCAACCCAATATGGGTGATAAGCAAACTTCTACTTTATTTGTGGCACACTTCGCTTATATCCACGTGGTGTTTAGCCACGCCTACTAGTCAGAACAGTATTGGTTAGTTCTACACAGCTTCCTTCACATTCTCCTCCCACATCCGGTATCCAGTTACCTGTGAGGCCTACACCTTGCCTTGCTCACACAAGGCCTCTAAGGCTCCATGGCCTTGCTCTTAGAGCCATTCTGCAATACTGACACATTAATTCACTCATTCCTTTTTACAGGAAGCTCCAGACTAAACTTATTTTCACCTATTATTAAGGGAAATTAAGAGTGGAATACAGCTTTTAAACTACAGACTGTTGGGTTTATGCCTTTTCAAAATCTATTTAATGACTGTGATGTCTATTCAAGACATCATGTCATGAAATTTAGTCTTGTCAGCACTAATACATTTTATTATGGAAGTCACCAAGCCAGTCTTTGTTAGTTGCCATGTGCTGCAGACACGGGAGGTTTCTGATGGGCATTCAGATGTTATAATCAAAATTAATTGCACCATTACCAGCCACTTACCCTGCCAGCGCAAGCACATGTGTGGGTTAGACAGCTGAAAAAACGGTCAATAATTTCCATGCACAACTAGGGATGCTCCCAGAATCCCAAGGCTTTACAGCCTTTGTCTTATGAGCAATATGCAGGCAATGCTCCCCTTCCCATCCAGGTTGTGGCAGGAATCTCTGTTAAGTAGGTCAGCCAGCTGCAGGGCATCTCAAATGATGTGCAGGAAACATCTTTAATATCACCTCCCGATCAGAGAGCTAGCCAGAAGACAGTCCACCACACTGAGGCAGTGGGTCTGTGAGACATTACCACTCTGAGCCTGATCAAAACCACTACAGTCAAGTACAGCCACACTCTGGTTATAAACTAAGTGTTGATGGGACAACACAGTCCTTTGAGACTTTATACTGGCTCAAATATGAAACCACTTCTAGCGGATCAGATACTACACATCCTCTCAAATTGGCAAAGCCTCAGCATGAAGCAGGATGCCAGCCATGGGCAGCACTACATGCTTGACCCCATTTCACAAAAAATGCATGCCTACATTTGAATAGGATTACTTTGCACTGTCAAGTGACTAGTAACACAAAGAGTCCAGTCAGCTAAAACACAAGCATTACTTGTTTAGTCAATACATTATATGCTTTTGGCAAAGACCTCAGGATAACATAAACAAGTAAATCAAGTCAGACACAGCAGCACAAAAATGCAGAGTTTATTTTCAGATGTTTCATAATACTAACATATGGACATCTTCACATGAGATGTCACTGTAGCATTTGCAAAGTTAAATTTTGAACAAAAGTCAGAGCGATAAATTCTGACAAAGTTACTAGGCTTTGAGATGAGAGACTCTCATTTTACTGTAGAGGGTAGTTAAGTGGAGATAACAATTCTGAGGTATTACTTCATACTGGAAGTCTAAGAAAGCAACAAGCCAGCCACAGGCTCCTGGGTTTGCAGTGTGCTCCTCCAGATGCACTAGATCTCAATGAATAATGAAATTTAAAATTGCTACTTCCAAAAAATGCTCTAAGTTGCATCTTTTCTTAAAGAAAGAAGACAGAAGTCCTCCTGCACAAGTTCTGTTATTTTGAAATATCATTTTTTTACAAAAACAGATCAAAAGTATAGTTAAGTATATTTATCTGCTCATATTAGTTCTTAATTACTCTAATCTCCTTACTCAGATAGATGCTTTATTTTGATGTGTAAGAATTCAAGGAATTCAGATGTGCTATAGGACCAGACAGAAAATACAAAAACCCCCTATTTTTAAAACAAAACACTAGAAATGCAAGGGAGTTGAAACAATGTCAGGACATTACCAATAAGGATACATAAGAAAATACTGAAGTACAAAATACTGCAGTTTATTAATGTTTCAGTGAGATTGCTTAGTATAGCTCAATGCTGTTAGTCGCCCGATATCAAAATTATTAGCAATTAAAATACAGCATATCCTAATGCTTTTAAAAAATGCAGCACATTTCCTTAATGCTTATAAAATCAAGAGCCAGAAATATGACCATTAAATAAATCCTATGACAAAATACTAATATTTTAAATGAATCCAGTCATTCACTGTGTTTCTATGTTCCTGTTTACCTTGGATGCTCAAGGTACAAATGACACTTTGACAGACATCTGGCAATTTTTTTCAACATGAAGCAGTGTAATTAAAGACACACTTCCCTATTAGCAGACTACTATTTCACATAAAGCCAGGTACAGAAAGATTTCCATATTTCCTTTGGTTTGTGACAGTTTAGTGACTGTTTGGTTTCTGTGCTTCAACAGTTTTGATATCATCCTGTTAAATGACCTACAGAACTGTGGATTAGGACTTTATTTTCAGTTTATCTAAATATAAATCTGAGATGTTTAAGAAAGCTAACTATTAGGTAGCACAAATTCCATAAAACTGCTGAATATCATCACAGAGGATGCATTTGCTGGACAGAATAAAAAAAGAGCGAAAGGTTTGCCATTCTTTTTTTAATATTAATCGAAAGCTGTTGCTCTGTGACTTAGACACTATGAAATGTAAATCCTGTCTCTCCTGAGCAGAAAAGACATGCTGTAGCTCTGACCCAGCTCCTATAAGGCAGGGCAGTATTTATCAACAGAAGTGGCCCAAAATTTTATTTACAAACCTAATATGCTGAATGCCTGTAGTTAGTTCATGTGTATCTTTAATAAAAAACAAACAAACAAACAAAAAGAAACCCACTGCAGACAGTGTTAGTTACAATAGCATGAAAGAAAAGGAAATTAAAGCAAGATTTACACAACTCACTTGAAGAATAAGGATCACTGAATTTCTGCTATACAACGTGTACAGTGCTATTTTTTTTAAATTAAATTTATGTTAGTTTTTTTATAAATGTATGTGGAAAAGTACATTTTTGACACTGCTTTAACAGGAAGGACTAGATTTGACAACTACATTTTATAAAGACATAAATAAATATGGCAGATGAGGATTATCCCTGACTGGTTTGACCTGAAGAACAATCCACAATTGTGAAGAAAAGTAAGTGTACAGAGGAGGAAATTAAAGCCTAAAGATACAAGTGTCAAAAAAAAACCAATATGTTTCTGCAATAACAGGGATCAAATTCACTATCAGCATGGGAAACAGCAAGAGACTATCTTACACAGTAAAAAAGCCATCACAAATTATCTCTCTCCTTCAAAATAACAAAGCAGACAAAGACAAGCTCTTTTCAGACTTCTGTGTATATAGAATTTTAACATAAGAGATACAAATTGGTTAAAATACTGCTAAGAACAGCACGAACAAGAAACAGTACTTCACTTATCACTTACTACAAGTTTCTACAGAAAAAAATCAAACACCCAGATCTTGCTGTACTCAAATCATATACACATCTGGCAGCCCAAAAGTTACCTGTCTTGGATTTAATTTAAGCACCTTCATTACACAGTGTCCTTTACTACAAAACAGCCAAACATACATTCATGACCCTAAAACTGTTCTTATAATTAGCATATTTTAAAGCATTATGTCAGACAGGTGCACCCAAAGTTTTCTCTTTTCAAGATACGTGGTCTGCATTAGTTACAGTAAACAGTGCTTGCATTACTGTCCACACATAATGCAACAACTTGGTTTACAGGTCATTTATTTAAATGCTTGAAATTTTACAAAACACTTTAGGGGGGAAAAATTAAAAAAAAAAAGAAAAGAAAAAGAGGAAATTTGCACTTCAGTTTCTCATTCTTGAAACATGCTACTTCTTGAGATAACTATGCTCTCACTCCTCTGCCCTGCAAAGGAACTGCTGAGCTTTATTGATTTTATCCCCATCAGCCCAAGGCCTGAATGTACATCACTTTAATCACACATCTACAGTGTGATTTCTGATGATCCTCAAGTTTTCCGCTTACAGCTGTTTAAGCCTCACAACACCCCTGTGAGGTAGGTACAGTTATATCCCCAATTTATAGAACCAAGACTTTTGTGTGTGTGGCACAATCATATGTTGTGTTCACTGACTGACCAGAGCAGCTTCTAAGCCTGCAGCCTTCAAGAAAACAGGGTTCATGTTCTTCAGGGAGCTAGATGTCTGCACTGGCATGCTCCTTCTGGCCTGGAGTGGATAAGGTTAAAGCAAAGTGCTAGGCAGATTGCTGCTCTGCCACCTCAGGCAGGTTGTCTTGGAGTGTTTGTACAGGTGACTGGACTGGCTGAACCGCTTGCCACACTTGAGGCAGGCATAAGGCTTTTCTCCTGTGTGCACACGGATGTGTTTCTTGCAGTCTGTCAAGGTCAAAAACGTCTTGCAGCAGATCTTGCATGCATACTTGCGTGCACCTTCTACAACCAAGACGTTGTGCTCCGATAAGGCCTTCTTGCATTTTGAAAGGACATCTGCAGATGCCCGTGTCAGCTGTGGCGGACCAGGTTGCGATGGATGCCCATTTTCAAAAGAAGTGGTCCCATTCATGATCAGCTGGGAACTGGATGAGTTATCTTGCATCTGGGAGCTCCTGACAGAGGTCACCACCGGCATTTTAGGGGCTATGCGGCGGTAACCAGGAAAGCTGTTAGCTCCACCCCTTACTGAGCCCATCACTGCCCTTGACAGGGAGTGCAAGCCTAAGCCCGACCGTGGAAAATCCATGCCAAACTGTTCTGCTGCACGGTACCCAGAAGTCTGTACGCAGGGGAGACCCATCACATCCTGCATTGGTCTAACAAAATGAGAATCTGCAGGCTCACTAAATGGATTCTCGACATGAGAGACAGTGGCAGATGAATGGCCAACAGCAGGCCCTGACTCTGGACTCATTAGGTAAGAGGCATCACTGTCCATTCTGCAGTCACTGGTGGTATTTGGAATATTGTCATCACTGTTTTGATTGGCACTGAAGCCACCACTTCTACTTTTATTTAGAAAATTTGAGATACTGAAGGTAGACTTGTGTTCCAGGTTATTTGATACCTCCATGATATGGATGTCTCCCACCCTATCAGTAGTGGATTGTGGGTCAGAAAAGCTACGATCACTGCTCTCAGGACTCAGTTCTATCTTCTCTGCACTCACTACTCCTCCTTCCACTTCAACAGACTCGCTCCCCTCTGCTTGGGAAGTGACATCGCTCACCTCATCTTGAGGCTCCGGGGAACTCAAGGGCTCAGACTTCACCACCACCCTCATGTGCTCTTTTTCATTCATGCTGACCTCTGGATTCTCACATGGGAAGTTGTTCTTCTCAGAAGCAGCCTCCTGGTCAAAGCTGGTTTCCACCTGTGTTGCCTGGGATGCCATAGACATCTGTGAAATGTTTCCTCCGCTGTTGTCAGACTGGCTGGGCACTTGAGCATCTTCCTGAGTACTGAAAGACTGATCAAACAAAATAGTATTATCCTCCTGGTTATCAGCAACAGCATCAGCCTTAGAGTTGTCCACAATCTTCAGTGAATCCGGTGAGAAGAAGTCTTCCCGTGAATGAACTACTGACTGCCCACTCTCTGTAGTCACATCAGAAATAGACTCATCCATGGTAGGCCTAATACGCTGCCTGGCCCGATCTTCAGAAGACTGTTTACGTTTGTGGAGACGACGGATAGGGAAAGTAGTGCGCTGTTCAATGTTACTTCTCATAGAGGAGCTCATAGTATTTGGTTGTTCCTCTGTGCTCTGAGTAGAATTTAAGGCAGAGCTCACAATGCTCAGTCCAAGCTGCTGCAGCATGAAAGACCTCTGCATGCGTGCATTTTGCTCTTGAACTCTATCACTTGGTGGAGACATTGGCAGTGTCCTGGTAGTAAGGTAGTGCTTGCATGCTTTAACAACAGAATTCAAATGTAAGTGAGAAGCTGCCAGCAAGACATCCATAACATTGCTCTCCCCAAGCATTAGTGTGGAAGTATACATCATGTCTATCAGAGCAGCAAAAGCTTCTGCTGTCACCACTTCGCTGTCCAGCTGAATCATATTCATAGTCTGGTCTCCTTCTGCTACAGTAAATAGAGCTCGGAAATGTGTGCTACATGCTGCCAAAACAGACCGATGGGCTTTGAAATGCCTGTTTCCCACCACAATGACACAGTCACAAAGCTGGCCATGAAGCCTCTGGTAGTTGAGCTGCTGAAAGATTTGCTCAAAATGTCCTGGAAAATCCATGATCCTGTAAAATAGAACAGAAGAAACTATAATATTAAAAACAAGCCCTATTCAGACCACAGCCAAACTGGGCTTGACAATGCAAGACGGCAGCTGAAACATAGATGAACAATAACTGATCTTAATTTACCACTGCCACATTGGTACTGCATCAAAGTTGGCAATCTTGCAGGGGCAGACTAGGAATAAGAATATGCAGGTTCTGCCATGGAGCTGACCTAGAATAACAGCCGCCTCAGCATCAGACATGTCACGGGCAGCTCTGCTGCAAACTGTGTAACACAGGTCATTTCACCTCTGTTAGCTCCTGTCCAAACGAAAACACACTCTTCAGTAAAATATTTAATTGTGGGGTTTTTTTTTAAATCTGTGAATAATCTACTGCAGCCTTTGATAACCTCCTGCTGAAAAGTCTAAACTTTAATTCTCATCTCATTTAATCCAGCTTCACCTTCTGCAAATGACTTTCTGCATAGTTTCTCAGATACTGCGCAGAACTGACATTCAGGTATCTGCTTTCAACATAGAAACACAGAAAAAAAAAAGTTCAGGGAAAAGAAGGGAGACAGTTCTGCACTGGGACAAATGGTCAGCTCTTACCTCAAGCTGCCATCTCAAAGCTCTGTGCTCTCCTTTACTGAAGGCAAAGGGAAGAAAGGAAGGCAGGACAGACCAGGGACTACCAACTTCAAGACACATACTGCTGTAAGACTGTGCTGGTTAGGGGTCAGAAAGACAAGCAACGCACTGAAGACCACTGATGGATTTACACACTTACATATATGTAAGCAGGCAGCTGTGGAAAAGCACAGGAGGATCTGTGGGTTTCCAGGAGCAACTTGGTTCCTACAAGGAAACTACCTCTGCAATGATCCCCAGCCTTGGATTATCATTATTAACATGTCAGGGGAAAGTGGAAAGGTTCTTGATCCTCTTTTATTAAGAACATACTCCTTTTAAACTCATTTAGAAGTTATTCTGCCAGCAGCATGAGATTAGGTTTCTCAGTCACGCCATCCACTGGCAGAACTGAACAAGCACAAGCTGTATACATGCTGGTTCCACCCACCAAGGGGACAAAGCTAGCCCCTCCCCCCTTTTCTATTAGTCCCTGTCGTGGTTTAAACCCAGTCAGGTAACTCGTTCACTCACTCCCCCCCTTCTTTCCCTCCCCCTACTCCCGGAGGGATGGAGAGGGGAATCAAAAAGAATGCAACTCCCACGGGTTGAGATAAGAACAGTTTAGTAACTAAGGTATAACACAAATCACTACTGATACCACCAATAATGATAAAGGAAATAACAAGGGAAGAGAATACAACACCTCACCATCAGCCAACCGATAACTCGCCCCACCCCACCAGACCAAGCACCCACCGATACCTCCTCCAACCCCGCAGGCCCCCAGCCCTTCCGGCTAACTCCCAGTTACATCCTGGGCATGACGTGCTGTGGTATGGAATACCTCTTTGGTCAGTTTGGGTCAGGTGTCCTGTCTCTGCTTCCTCCCGGCTTCCCCTCCTCCCTGGCAGAGCATGAGGCTCACAAAGTCCCTGACCAAACCAAAACATCCTTGTTATCAGCTCTGTTCCCAGGCCGAAAGTCAAAACACTGCACTGCACCAGCTACCAAAGAAGGAGAAACATGACTGCTACTGCTGAACCCAGGACAGTCCCACAGCTATAAACCATGTTGGACTTAAATACTGGTACCCTCAGTCAAAACTTGCCAGTGTCTCCAATAGCTACAGAAGGAGTGGGCAGAGAACCATGCCCTGTAACACTTTTTGTCCTTAAATAACAAAGTTTTGTGTTGCCAGGACAGGTGGCTACAGACAGCTGTCCTGCAGTAAAGACTTACAGATACTCTCTGGTTTTAAGCCTGTCTTGAGGCTACTGTAGACAGTGTGTGGTGAACAGCTGCCATTTTCTGATTCCCAGGCTTATGAAATGCCTTAGGGACAACCTGGACAAACAAAGGGACTTGCTCAAGTTTGTGGCGTTTGTGGCTTTTGCGGTACTTGACTAACATCAGGTGATATAAAATTAATGGAATTGGTAGCACAGTAGGTGAAGAGATCTGAATTCGTGCCAGAAGAGGTGGCAAACTAACGTAAACCACAAAGACTAAAACCATTAGGTCACAAAACATGTCACAGAATGGCCCCAGACTGTCTCAACTGTCAGGCTGTAGCTAGTGCAAAGTAGCTACTGTTCTCCAGCTGAGAGGCAGCCAGCATTCACCCACCTCCTCCATCTGTAATGGGACACAACATATGTTTTGCAGGTCTTTGCTGGAAAAGGATTTCAAGACATAGTCCACTGGACAAAGAACCTTTGCCCTCTCCAACAGATACAGGCTCACAAAGAACTTCAGTTTTACCTAAACACTGAAAAGCTGGAATTTCTGCTGGCAAGTTATCTGCTGCCTTCAACTGTAATTGTTTCCTGAATATTTTAGAAAGAATAAATAAATAAATTACACTTTATGTCTTCCAGCAATGGAGAGGGTCCAGGCTTACTAGTGGCATCAAAAATCCACTAACTTGGCAGCACTAAGGCTATGATGCCTGAAATAACACCATAATGAGATTTAATTAAGTACTGTGGCACAGTACTCCCTTATCACTATCAAGCTGTGTAATAAACCAGAAGAATTTGGGTTTGACACTTTATTTTTTAAATAACAGGAATGCAGACAATACCCGAGTTTATTTCTTTTTAACTACCAATGCATATTTGACAGTAAAAATAACATTTTCAAAATAAAAAACATTAAACAAATGTTGTGATTGCAGTTTTTATTTCTACATTTCCTCTGAGAGAAGTGTAAGACAACGGAAAGGGAGGAAATACTTCTTGGTGCCTTCCTGGAAGAAGGAGGAACGAAAGAGCAGACCCTGAAACTCACTGATCTCCAGCAGCCAGACAAAAGGAAGACTGGGGAGCCTGCTGTGACAAGAGACACAAGTCCTGGCAAGAAATGTCTGGAATGTGGCAGAGGCCAGGACTGCTTCGAGTACTGCTTCTAACACTGCTGTCTGCCTCTCCTGCCCAGCGCACCTGGTTAAACTTACGCCCTCCTTTGTTCCAGCAAGCACCATGCACAGACAATTGTCTCTGTCAAGAAAGGTCCCCTCCAGCCAGCCATCTCTGCAAAGTTGAGAGGTGACTGCCAAATAATTGTTCATTTATCTTCTTTTGCTCACCTCTGAGATGGGCCAGGTGTTACACCATCTGTTCTTGATTTCGTGGGACTAAAAGATCTAGGGGAGAATTTTGAGAGGAGATGGGCGAGGCTGGTGGGTGCAACAGTTGCCAGAGTAACAAAGAAACGCTCCTTTTAGAGTACCATCACTAAGCATCAGTGTGCTGTTGCGGGCCTAGATGCTGGGTGACCTTTTTTTTCCGCCTTGCTCCCCAGTCAAGACTGACAGCTCCAAGAAACAGTTGTGTGGTTCATCTACACAGCGTACAATGCTACAGCCCACTTGGCAGATGCCCTGGAAAACACCAGACACACACCACACCAGGAGAGGCAAGGGATCTCCTTTCCTTCGGGACTAGAACTGGAGGGCACTGTAGTTTTAACTATAGCGACTTTCCAAAATGCAGCAGTGCTGAACCATTAGCACCACCACCTACAGGGGCAGCTAAGACAGGAGCACTTTGCTGTGCATTATCTGCAACCAAGAATGAAATCATTCCACTTGTACCTTCACTACAGAAAGCACAGGCCCAGTAGAGACTGCTCCAGCTTCAAGGGTCATTAGAAGCAAGCTGTTCACAAGCACTCAAGCAGTTCCCAGTCTGTGTACTGCTTTATGCCATTTTAGGAAACTCTGTAGAAGACAAAATACTTGAGAGCTCATACATTGCCCTTATCAAGCCAATCCCAGGGGCTGGCATTCTTCAGAAGGCTGTATAATAATGCATTCCAACCAATGCACAGAGAAGGCTGGGGGTGTAAAACACCAAGCAACATGAGGACAGGATTTCACATCAGTAAAAACACTGAGAGGGACTCCAGAAAGGAACACAGGCTACAGGGATAGTCTAAGGTATTTCTGCCCAGGCAGGAATATGTATCTGAACCAGAGAAAACAGTCAGAACTTGTTTTGACCAATGATTTGGGATTTCAGAGTTCACAGAGTCCTTCCCTAGAGTCACCGAAAGTGACTGCATCCTTCATCTGAAATAATACTAACCCAGTTTTGCTTCAATTAACATTAATTTGGCTTGGTGTTTAACTTCTACTACCCCATAAAGGCTGAAGTCCTTGAATCAGAATCAACAAACAGACCCCACAAATGAAGAACTTGAGATCTTGTACAAGATCAACTGAAAATTATAAACCAGATTTGATTTGTATATATCGTATACTATCCACATACCACATTTGGTTAGATATCAGCTACTCCAGCTTACTAAATACATGCAAAGCATTTATGTCATTATCAAAATATGTATGAGTGGCATACCTCAGGACACACCCATTCTGTCTGCCTTCCTCTCCTGTTCCACTGATACCTCACCCTTCAGCAACAGCTGGCTGTAAAAACACCGCTGAAACACTGATAGGCTGCACATCTCATCATTCTCCTGTCAAGCGACCCAACATCTCCAGCACACAGTGGGTGGTATCCCATAACATGGTGTGCAAATGCCTACTCAGATGAAGGATAGAGATGTTCCCAACTGAGTAGTGAGTGGTTTCAGCATTCAGTCTTTGCAGCCTTCAGGAGGCTCACAGCCAGCTCCAGTTCATATCCTGGGGACACAGGGAAAGTCAGATGAAACATTCTGATGAATCAGATCCAGTCTGTCGGACTCAGGGGAAGCATCAGTGGTGCAAACAGCACACACTGAGTGCAGCAGCCTTTTGAAGAGCAGCAGGAAAGGGAATAGCAACTGAACAAATGACCGCAATTGAAAAGAAACTATACCAAATTGTTTGGTATAATATTGTTTTAGTAAAACTATAATTTGTTTAGTAAAACTATACAAATATCCTATACTTGTTTAGCAAATACTATAATTGTTCAGTAAATCTATACAAATAGTATTACCAATAAGTAAAAATAGTCAGAGCCATAAAAATTTTAAGAGCAAGCCATGAAAAAACATCTAGCAACCTAGTCTAGTGGAAGGCATCCTGGTCTGTCAGGTGAGGCTGGAACTAGATGGTCTTTAAGGTCTCTTCCAACCCAAACCACTCTATGATTCTATGAAATCCTGACCGCAATACAAACATTCTGCCTGTCCCTGGGCTAAGGTCTATGAGCTGAAACCAGCAGGGTGTCCTGGGTTCAGCAGTAGCAGTCATTTTTCTCCTTCTTGGTAGCTGGTGCAGTGCAGTGTTTTGACTTTCAGCCTTGGAACAGAGCTGACAGCGATGTTTTGGTTTGGCCAAGGACTTTGTGAGCCTCATGCTCTGCCAGGGAGGAGGGGAAGCCGGGAGGAAGCAGAGACAGGACACCTGACCCAAGCTAGCCAAAGAGGTATTACATACTACAGCACATCATGCCCAGGATGTAACTGGGAGTTACCCAGAAGGACACGGGCTTCCAGGTGGGACTCTTTTCTTGGCCGGTTGTATCGTATTCTCTTCCCTTGTTATTTTCTCTTATTGTTGTCGTTGGTGGTAGCGGTGGTGATTTGTGTTGTACATTGGTTGCTGGACTGTTCTTGTCTCAACCTGTGGGAGTTGCACTCTTTTGATCCTCCTCCCCATTCCTCTGGGAGCAGGGAAGGGGAGAGCCCTGGGGGTGGGGCGGGGGGAGCCTCGATTTCTCCCAGCCTGGCACCACTCACTGGGAGTGAGTGAACAAGCTGTCTGGCTAGGGTTTAAACCATGACACAGGGTAAGAACCAAAGAAAATCTCCTTCACATAATGCAGTTAAGCTACAGAACTCCTCACCATGGGCAAGTACATGTGAATTCAATAGCAATTATGTAGATGCATTGAAGAATAACCAAATGAGAGCTATTAAATATTCAGATGTCACCTCTACCTAGGGAAGTCACTAAACCCCAAGTCACTGGAGGTACAGGTTTATATACACTTACCTTTCTAGCTTTGTATTTTACAGCTTGATTTGTTATTTCTGAAGAGTTTTAGGAGAGAACTAAGTTTTTTTTTAAATGTAAGAATAATTTGGTAAAAATAAGGAAACATCTTCTATGTAGCATTTTGATTATGCACTTAAAAAGGTAATTAGTCCTTGAATAAAAAAATATGCTCAGGATATATTTAAATACTTGCCTCTTCACTGCTAGAGGAAAATATACCAACAGCCCACGAGAGGCGAGACTGCTGCTATTGCTAAATGTCCACAGATTGCAGCAGGAAAGTCGGAGATGATGGATTCCCAGCAGGCACAAATTCATGGAACATATGTATACACGAGAGACACTCAGCACTCACACAAACACAGGTAGCAGCAAAGGCCTCACCTTGCTGTCCTCTCTGGCTGGAGGACACATGCAGGCAAGACTCCTCCAGCAGCTGGCCCTCCCAGTAGCTGTCCTGTGGGTCCCAGTCTCCCCATTCCCAGTCTGCATGCATACAAATCCCTAGGCCACAGCCTGTCTCCAGTTGCCAGGAGACTCTCACAGGTACACAGAAACAATCTTGCAGCTGTTGTCACACCCAGAGCTGCCCTTACAGACCCTGTAATGGATGGGAACCTAACTGAGAGCGATTCCCTCTCATGATCATGAGAAGCATTAATGAGGCAGGTTTTTACAAAGTGTATTTGAGAAAGTATATATCTTTTTATCCATTATGACTATCTGTTGGAAAGAGGCAGGAAAACATGCATGCAGCTGTTGTATGACCATCACATTTGGCCATGCCAGAGTGCCTGGCCAATGCTCTTGGTGTGGCCAACAGCGAGAAAGTGAGAAACTGCACGGCCTCACGAGTAAAAAATTATAGATTATAGCCAGCTGTGTTTCTGAGAAAAAAAGCAGGCCTCTGAAGCCTCAGAGGCAACCTCACCTATAGATGTGTGGGAGTTTTCCCAGTTACCTGAGACTCACTGCATCACCTGCAATGGGGCTTCCCAGCTTGAAGTGTGCGCATTGATGATGATTTGGTGGTAACTGGCAATGTATTTCTTCTTAATCTCTCTTCTCTCTATGCAGTAATGATTTGACGCATTGCTAATTTTCCTCTGTGCTATACATACATATATCTCTGAATTGCTGTATTGTGCTTGTTTACTATATACATATATACCTGATTCACATTAGTGTGCTTATTGAATAAACTGGGCATGTTATACAGCTACCATGTGATTGTTTTGAGTACCCTGCCTGTTTGCAAAGCAGACCCACAAATCCCCCTGCTCCCAGGCCACTTCACCTGCTCATCCAGTTTGATCTCTGCTGGCTATTAGACACTCACATACCCACACTGGCTTCAGTCAATGCCCCACGGACATGGTGACCCTCTGCCCTGTAGCTGCATTCATAGTAACCACAGATCCCTCACACAGGAGAGACAGGAAGGAATTCAGTGAGGAGCAGGATAGATGGCACTGATAACATGCAGGGCATGGTCAGGCAAGCTTACTGACCAGCCAAATGCCTACACATGATTAGCTCTTCTCATCCCCTCTGTATTTCCACACTTGTTTCTCCTCAAATCTCCTAAACTATACCCTTGCCCCACTTTTGGTTTCTCATGTAAACATCCCATAGTAAGTCCCGTGAGACTTTCGGTTTTCCCTGTAGCCCCTGTATCTCTGCAGTGGGCAGCAACCTCTTTAGTATGACGGGACACTGGGCAGATGCTCTGCGGACTGCCCTAGCAGGAGCCTGGATAGGGTGCTCCTTTCTTGGGGTTCTTGATTTAGGTTCCTACTGTGCCCCTATGGTCCTCTGGGCCTGCGGAGATGGGCTTGTGATGGGCTAGCTTCAGGGATGGCCTTGGGAGCAGCTCTGCAGGGTAGCGTTTAGGCTCCGCCTCCCACTATTGCCTTTCCAAGCTCCCCTAGGGCTGTGAAGAGGAGCTTTGATCATGTTCCTGGACATTCATGGTGTCATATAGTATAATATTTCTCATATATGTGGTATCTGTGGATGAACATATGGCCTAAATTTCTTAAACTAAGCTTTCCATATTAAGAAAGCATCAGGACTAAAAATACCTAATTGGGAAGATGATATGCAAGTGTTCTGAAATTCTAGGGAAAAATACCTGCAGTTTACAGTTACACAGCCTGTTTAGTCATTTCTTATTAGCTATTAACCTCAGAGTCTGTCAACTCCAACCAAATTCAACAAAGATGAGATTACATACTGAATTCCCATATTTTCTGTTGGTGCCTGGTTACAGAAGCAGCCAGATTTGTAAGGATGACTTTTCATATTCTCTTAAACACCACAAAACACTCAAACCCAGCCAGCTGACCAGTTTGAACACACAGCTACCAATAAAGCACTCATGCAGCCACCTGCCGAGCCAGGAAACACAAGGGACAGCTGGTAATGCAAACACGTAGCAGGACAAGGGACACTAGATCTTTCTACAGGAAATCAGTTTTTATTAGCACATATTTCTACTTCTTCTAATGGTAATAATTTCTTCATATGGGAAAAGGCAAGTATTTAAGTACATCTGAACTGAAACTGCTGCAGAATCCAAACCTTTTCTTTCACTTCTTAAAAAAAAAAAAAGGCTAACTCACTATAAAATAGTGTGAAAAATAACTCCAAATAATGATCTAGTTACAGTTTTATTACTATGTCCCATACTACAGGACACAGTTTAGATTACACTATAATCCTGAGCCACTGTTAAGAAGTCAAACACACGCAGTCAAACATATAAAAAACTTAAATGCAACCTCAAGTTTCCCCTAAGAAAGCTTCTAAAAGTTTGCAAAGTAATTGATTTTGTGTTACTAAACCAACAAAAGCTGCCTCAACTATATGATTCATTAGAATGGTATCAGAAGAAATCTCACATACAAATACACTAATGAAAACTTCAGACTAGGTACTTGGTTTTTCTTTATCAGGTAAGTGAAGGACAAGTTATTACTTGCATCTCAAACCCCATTCCCAACAATCTGTGTTTAAATGCAGTCAGTATTCTAGGTACCAAGCTTGCAGGAATTCCTGACATATAGCCAGAACTTGAGAGCATGCCAACATAACTGCTTTCCCCTTAGCTTAAATGACATTTTACAAAACATTACAATGCACCTGTACTGTGCTTAAGCAACATGCTTAAAAAAATACACCTCATATAAAGCTCCCCTGAAGCCTGAACTACACATATAAATCTAGATAGGAGTCAGTGATACATGTGTTATTTTAGAAAATGCTTTCTACTATCAATTAGGTTTTTAACTACCAGTTGGGTTTTTAACAAGTCAGCAGGGCAGTGGGAGCACAGAGGCAAGAAGAAATTGAAGTCTTCACTTTGACATCTTCTGCAAGTTTGGTCACTTTGAAACATGGATGATATGCATTTTGTGCTCTGAGAGCGTTTTCAATCCGAACATATGGTGAAATTTTAGTTAACAGTCGTTAAAACAGTTTCTGTATCTGTGCCACATAACTACAGCAGACTCCAGTGTTACATCACTTTCATGTATGTGACAATATAGTTAGTGCCGAACATGAAAGGCATTTTGTGTGTGTCTGACAAGCATCTCTAACTACTGACTTTCATGACTGACAGTTAAGCTTACCGCATCTCATTTGAGGTGCTTCCTTAGCCAAGTTTTATATATAGGTCTACTCACACAGTTTATCTCCCTATTTACTGTCAAAGAGGATGAGTTAAAACTTGTCTAAGAATCAGAAAGGATAAATTGCACTGCAAAAGCTGCTGCTGGTTACATCAGCCCTCCAGTGAAGAGATTAAAATATGGTTTAGTATTTTCTCATCATCTGAAAGGTACTGCAGATAGGTAGTCTATCTCATGGCAACACCAAGTCATTAACAAACAGTAACAGCACAGCTTGCCAGGAGCAAAAAACATCTCTGAAAGAAGCAACAAAATGCTTCCTAAAAATGGCTAAATTTTTCCTAGACACTGAAGAGACGCTACCTGTGACACAGCCATCTTTCTGTTTTCTGACATTTCTACTCACTTCCTCCCAACCCTCTGATGCACCTCTTGGGTCTCCAAATCCTGCAGTGTAGCTGACAGTTCAGAGGAAGACACACAGGAGACTGAAACATGACACACATTTTGATGCACCATTTCAGCTTGTCACCAGGGGGGTTGTTTTCTTGTTGTAATTCCACTATTTAACACACCTACATTGCTACATATGCTTAACTCACAGAACACTGTCCCCTTGTAATTCTTGGCTAACCACTGATTGAGCTTCAAGGTCAGTACCATGGCTTTCACAGACATCAGCCTCTCTCAAGAGTTCACATATGCTTTTCTGGTCAACTTACAAAGGCACAGTGTTTCCTAGGTATCAATAAGAAACAGATGATGTTAATGGATTCTATTCTTGATTTTGGGAAGCTAAAAAACCTGCATCTAGATATAAGAAAATGGTTGCTCCCCAGAACATAAAAAGTTTTATAGGCACTGCACAAAGAAACACCTGAAGACAGGTGTTTGGGCACTACTACTGTTTGACTTATTTTGAAAGGGAAAAGCAGAGAAGGCTGCTATACAGAACTGGCAGGAAAGCCATTTAAGGGCATGGGAAGATAAGCTGCCATCAACAAGGATTGATTTGAACTCAGTTATATTATCAGTTCAAAAAAACTCGAGATTCATGGTACCACGGCAGTCTCCGTCACTGCCATGGTTCTCTCGCAACAATGTCCAGTGCTGCAAAGCAAACTTAGTTGCCAGCTTCTCCTGCCTACCTTCACCCCAGTTTATTAACCAAACAAGAAACACCATGCAGAAGCAAAGGTCTTCAGGCACAGATCCCAAAGGCAGCTCAGCACCAGTATGATGTCTTCTTGCTTAATATGGCAATAATTTCTAAATCTAGCTCTTCACTATTTACCAGAGATTCAAGAATTTTAAACAACCCTGCTCAACAGCCTTCCTTGCTGATTCCTTTGCCTAAGCTTTTAACACCAGTGAAACTGAAAGTTAACTGAATACACATGCACTTTTGCCAGAAAACGGTTTAGATTGAAGTAAGAAATATTAGTCTGACACCACCACAATGGATTCATTAGTATTATACATCTTTAGCCAATCAAATACCTATATCCACATAACCAATTCAACTGATGACTGCTATATTTCAAATGAGAACTGTTGAGTTGTCTGCTCCTGATCTTCCCAAACTCATTTCCAAAATTCATCTTCTAACATTGTCTTTTTATCCTCATGGATGCACTGCACAGTTCTGTCTATTTTGGCATTGTGAGGGGTTTATAAGACCCCCACCTAGCTGTTCTCTGACTCCCCCTCCTTAGCAAGATGCAGGAGAAAGATGGAAAGCCTTGGGGGTTGAGATAAGGACAGGGAGATCATTCACCAATTACCATCTGAAACACTCAACTTGGGGAAGATTAATTTAATTTATTGCCCATAAGTAAGAGTAGGATAGAAAAAAAGAAAACCAAAACCATATTCCCCCCACCCTTCTTCCCAGGCTCAACTTCACTCCCAATTCTTCTACCTGTTCCCCTCAAGCAGCATAGGGGAAAACACAGTGGGGATGGTGGTGAGTTCACAATGCTTCATCTCTGCTGCTCCTTCCTCCTCACACTCTTTCATTGCTCCAGCGTGGGTCTCTCCCACAAGGTGCAGTCCTTCAAGAGCATATGGATCCAGTGCAGGCCCCCCATGGTCTACAGATCCTGCCAGCAAACCTGCTTCAGCATGGGCTTCTGTCTCCTTGGGGCTGCAGGTCCAGTCAGGAGCCTGCTCCATGGCAGGCTCTCCATAGGCTGCAGCTTTCCTCAAGGCACTCCATCTGCTCCACTGTGGAGCTTGATTATTTTCAGGTGGACAATATCCCTAACCATGGCCTTCACCACCAGCTGCAGGGAATCTCTGCCCTGGCACCTGGAGCACCTCCTCCCCCTCCGTCTTCACTCACCGTGGTGGCTGCAGGGCTGTTTTTCTCACTTCTCTCTCACAGCTGCTGCTGCCCAGTGTTTTCTAGCTTTTCTCAAATATGTTATTTGGCCAGCAGCAGGTCCATCTTGGAGCTGGCTGGAACAGGCTTTGTCCTGTATGGAGTAGCTTCTGTTGTCTTCTCACAGAATAAACTCCTGCAGCCTCTCAGCTACTAAAACCTTGCTACAAACCCCAAAAGAGGCATGTACTAATGAAGAATTTGAAAGAACACATTGCCCTAATCACGACTTGAAAGTCACAATACAGGGTTACAGCTTACACGGTCTGAATGCATTATGCCGAATTAACTAAATTCCTTCTTAATAATTTTTGAAAGGCACAGGAAGCAGCTTTTGTTGGTCCAGAGTTGGTAACTTCCTTCTCTGTTCTGGCACAGGACTACCTTTTCTTTATAACATATGGGTTTACAGCAGAACCTAACATAGTTACCAGCTTGAACACTGCAGAGTTTGTCTTTGTTAGCACAACCATGAGGAAAACTGGCATCTACAGGTGTGCCACAGAGATAACACATTCCAGAGAAGCAACTGGTGTGCACACAACTTTTGTACACCAGTAGTACGCATAACACCTCTCCACTAGTACGCTGTCCTCCACAAGATGGGATATGGTTCAATTATCAAACATCACTGCAGCTATCGCACAAACATCACTGCAGACTCAGCAAAAAAGGCCACCCAGAAATTCCTTCTCAAAAGCAGCATCTCAGCTCAGCATAACCGCTGCGTATGTAGTGAGAAGGTCGAAGCCAAATGCATTTCAAGAAGACCCGAGGCAGAGGCCAAGCACAAGCTCTATTCCACCGGACTCTGGCTGAAGGAGCGCCCGACCACTGCAGGCGCCCTGCATTCGCCGGTGTGACCCTGCAGACACCAGCCCGTGACCGAACTGGCCCACGGACCTGAACAGCACATGGAAATCCAGTGAAGGGAACTGCGGAGCCGAGCGAAGCGAAGCCAGCACCAGCCTGTGGGGCCCGCCTGCTACCCTGGGGGTTCCTCTCAACAACAGGATCGCGTTCCCAGCCACCAGCTGAGCATATACCGCTACTGCCACCCGCAGCTGCCCATTCCGCAACACCGGCAGCGTTATGACCTCTTGCGCTCTTCCCCGGGGTGGCTCCGGCGGCTGCTCTGTTCCGCCAACAGCGCACCACCCTCCCAGGCACCTCGGTCTACAGAGTGCTCCCAGCTGGCCTAGGAGTTCTGCCCGGGGTGGGAACCGGAGACGGGGAAGGGGCGGCCACTTGTAGCAGGAGCGCTCTCCGGCCGCCCGCGTCACCCGCCCCTCCCCCGATGCCTGCCGCCGGCACTACCCGCCGGACCCGCCGCCGCTCACCTGCGGTCCCCGCCCCCCCGCTGCCTCTGCTCTCCGGTCGGGAAGGGCCGCGGCGGGGCGCCCTGGGAGGCAGGAAGGACAGGGCGAGGCTACTGCTGCTGTCAGCGCCGTCGTCGTCCCTGTTGCCCTGTGCCCCACTCTCGCGGCTCCGCCCTCACGGGACCTCCGCTGCAGCGCCGTCGGACGGAAGTGACGCCATCGTGCAGCAACCCGCTCGGCGGGCGTGGGCAGGCCGGCCTTCCCGGCCATCAACCAATCAGCGCCCTCGTTACTGATAGGCAACGGCACCGCCATCTTCTTCCCTACTCCCCACCGGATACGACAATAAGCACAGCCGTGATTGAGCGAGTCCCGCTTCCCCGAGAGCCAGCGGCAGCCCTCGCGTTTTGCCGCCATGGCCGCCGCCACCGCTACTTGGCGCTACCGCGGACACCCCGGGTCGGAACAGCCGGCGGTGCTGGGTGAGGCAGGAGCCAAGATGGGGCGGACGGGAGCGGGATCGGGGTTGCGGGATCAGGGTTGCGGGGCAGGGCAGTGCCAGGCCAGGCCACCCTGGCTTACGGCCTCTCTTCGCCGCCCTGCAGTGCAGTTCTCCAACGGCAGGCTGCAGCGGACCGGCTCCATGCGGTTCACCGTCTACCGAAACAGGGACACGGCACACCCCCGGAAGAAGCACCGGAGGATTTTGGTAAGGGCTCGCCTGAAGATCACACTCTAGCCGGGCCTCGTGTCGGCAGCCGTGTGGGCTCCTGTGAGGGTGGCCGCGGAAGCCTGGAGCTGCGGCCGCCCCGAAATGGTACCGTTCGTGGTACGTACCGTGCAGCTGGTACCGTCTATCCGCCCTTATGTAGCCGTGTAACGAGGGCTGCACTGCTGCACCTTAGACTTGGAGAGTCGTGCCGGGAGGCTGTAGCGCCTGTTGGAGGTACAGAAGCACAGACTCTTCTCCCAAAGAACAAGGGATAGGGCAACAGGGAGCAGCATCAAGCTGTACCATGGGAGGTTTAGACTGGAGATTAGGAACAATTCGTTTTCCAAAGGGTGGTGAGGCATTGGAACATGCTGCCCAGGGCAGTGGAGTCACCATCCCTGGAAGTCTTCACAAACCGCCTAGACAAGGCCCTTAGTGACATGATTTAGTGGTGGCGTTGGCAGTGTTGAGGACATTTTGACTTGATCTTAAAGGTCTTTTCCAACTTGTTTGATTGTCACTTTGTGAAGTTCTGGTTCTTATGTGGGCTGCTGCCATAATGCAGGTGGGCGTGATAGGGGTGTGGCAGAACAGGGAAGTCCTTGGCACAGGTGGGAAGAACCCTTCCCTTACTCTGCAGAATGCTCTATGCTGGTGAGCCACGCTCCCGGCATTTCTGCAGAGACCCACAAGGAGTCCTTGGACCCTGGAGAAGTGGGTGCAGGTTCTGCAGGGCCACTATGGTTTCTGTGGAGCACGTCATGGTCACCCTCTTGGCATTGTGAGTTAACTCTTGGAACAGAAAGGAATCTGAAAAATTGCAATATGGAATGTTTGTGATTAAGGATATCGAGACGGATGTGTGGGTAAATTTCCATCAGAGCTGAGTATGTGCTTATTTGACAAAAATTTGATGTATACATGGTATTCTTAGGCAAAGGCTGAGGCACTGAAGTTGCGTGTGTTCATGATTTATTTTAATAACCTAGAGGGAAAAAAAGTTTGAAAATGAAAAGCTGTTACTTAACAACTAGTCATGTCCATTTGGTCACAAAATCTGCTGTGTTATGTTTATGCAGTGAACACAGTGGATTCTTTATCAAATTTTTTTGTTGTTGTTTTTGTTAAGTTACATTATAAGGAAATTTATATCTTTTCACTGAAGAGGGAGCCAAGATTAAAGTCAGAAGTTGCTTTGTTCTGCTATTGGTAAGTTTTACAGCTGCCTACATGCATGATTCAACAAATAAATGGCTTTTCAGCCATTTATTTTTCAGCCAGTTATGAGTAATTCCAATTACTCAGGGGAAACACACTGTAGTATAGTACAAACACAAATATTTTGAAATGCATTTAGGTGGTTGAGGTGTTTGTAGTAGTGCTGGCTCATTTTTATAATCAGTGAATTGTAGTCCCTTGGCAGTACTAGACCTTTAGGTAGATCATTGAAAATTATATTACACACATAGACTCTACGTTTAAATTACTATTCACATGATTTCTTTGCAGCGGTTCCTCATCTTCTGGCTAAGGTGAAAGCTGAGGTAGAATTATATATCATTGGTGGTCTCAGCTTCAAGAAATCTTGTCTGTTAAAGATTTTGACCTGATGCTCAGTGTACCCAGGGTGGGCTAGTGCCTGATGCCTAGGAATGTAGAGCTGTGTGGCACCAGGGAAAATGAAATGCAGAGAAGGTTATTCACAGTCCTGTACTCAAGTAATTTTCCTTTGTTTTTCAGGTCTCAGAAACTGAAAGGCTTTCATATGTGGGGAATAACTTTGGCAGCGGAGCTATGAAATGTAATTCCCTATGCAGGTATGGAGGCAGAAGCAGAGGTGTTGCTCATACACAAAGTTCCTGGTAGCCTTGTTTAAATGTGGCTCAGAAGTTCCCATGGAGGCTGTGATTTGATTTGTTGGAAGACTCCAGTATCTGGCAGCTGCATAGTTTGTGTACTTTACATCCCTTTGGAAGTTGTGATGTTTCATATGGTGTGTGTTTGAAAAGGTCTTCAGAAGGAAAAGCTGAGGAGATGATTTGATGTAGTTGAGATGTAGGAATAATAGCTTTGCTATTAAGAAGCTATAAAACTAATGTTAAGAAATTGCCAAGATCATCTGCTGCTGCCCAGGAACCTTCTGGGTCATTAATCGCCATTTAACTTCAGGGCCACAGCACGGGGTTGCTATGTGAAATAACAAGCTGCCGCACTGTAAAAAGAACATTGGTGAAATCACCAGCCTTTACATGTCCTGGTGTAACAATATGACCTTTGTGGCAGTGGGGCAGATCCCACTGGTCTCCTCTGAGTATCTTGTATGTGAAATCTTTCTCAGCCTCTTAACAGAACCATCACCAAAAGGGTAGAGAGCCAGTGTGAAATAATCTTGCCTTGTTATACCCAAAGGTGTTTATTTTCTCCTTTGATGCATATTATTGCTCCTTCTAGCCTACACAAGACTGAAATGCATTTAATGTGCATGTCAGGATCTTGGTACTAAATGCTTTGCTCTGTAGATCTACTCCACTTGACCCACGTGGTTTGCTTGCATTGGTCATCTCTCCTCTAGTTGGACTGGACTGATGTGATTTGTATCTGACTAGTTAAAATGCAGGTGAAGGAGTAAAAAGCAGAGCTGTGTACAATTTTTATGGAGAGGAGGTGTTTTCAGATGTTGGCAGCCTGATGGTCCAGTGTTCTGAGTAAGACCAACCTTTGGAAGCATTTCTTTACAGAGGTGGTGTTCAGACTCTGGGACAGGCTTACAAGGGGGCTGGTTGATGCCCCAAGCCTGTCAGTGTTTGAAAGGTATTTGGGCAATGCCCTTAATAACATGCTTTAACTTTTGGTCAGCCCTGAGTTGGTCAGGCAGTTGCACTAAATGATCACTATAGCCTTTTTCCAGCTGAAACTATTCTGTAAAAGGAACAGGTTTCACCTCTGCAAATGGTCTGTCAAAATAATACTAATACTACTCTTTGTTCTTTTCTCTGGGAAGTGAAACACAGAGAACTGCACCTTCAGATGTAATAGTCTTCAGTTTAAGATACTATAGCTGCAAAAAGGCATCAAGGAGCTTTTTGTTTTTGAGTTTGAATGATAAATTTAGTTTTCTGAGTATGTATGATACAGATATCAATGCAGTATTATTTCTAGGCATATTTAGCAGTCTTATCTCTGGGCACTGATTAAGAGGTGGTTTTAATGGCTTAAGTTGTTCTTACCTGCACCTCTGAAGATCCTGAGCTATGGACACTAACAAGGCAAGCTGACTGCTGATAATATGTTCAACTTCAGGTATTAGTTTTGCATTATGTGTGCACATGCCTCAGGATCCACAGAGATGCAGACAAGAATCAATTAAGTAATTTCTTGCTTTTCTTTCAAGTTTTCCCACACCATCCTTCTGTCCCTTTTCTCCCTCATCTGCTTCAGCTGCATGTATGAGGATTTCCTCCAGTGGATCCATTCCTATAGTTCTTAGCAGCTGTTAGCCTAAAAATGTGCATTCACAACTGCTCAAGTAAGTGTAACAGGGAGCAGAAACTAGCTCTGATCAAACCACTCTCTTTATTCTGAGTGGAAAGTCTTTATTCTGAGTTGAGTCCATCCAACCTCTTGGCTTCCTGGGACAGCAGGAACTGCCCAGAAATCTTTTCTGGCCAGGAGGTGCTGAGGTTCCCACTGTATGTGGGCAGCTCCTCTGAGGCCATAGAGTGTTGCTGTCACTGCAGCAGGCAGCCTGTTGTGCAAGTGGGTTTTTGCTTCAGGAAACGTGTTTTGACTTCTAGGAAAATGTGTTAGGGGCTGGAAGAAGTTCAGGTACCAGTCAGAAGGGGTCATATGGAATAAACTCTTCTGGCTGGATAAGAAGCTGGTGCAGATGATAACTTGATCCATGTTAGCCAAGGGTGACATAACAGCCTGTTCTTCTTGGTGGGTCATGAGACATAGTGAGGAGCTGCATAAACCATTTGGGCTTGCCCCTCTGAGATGTGGGATGAGAAGGAAGTTACCTGAGAGAAATTATCGTATTTCAGAAATGGCAAAGTCACATTTCCAAGGAGCTCTGAGGACTTAAAAGTGACTTGTACTAAGCAGAGAACTGGCCACAAGGAACCAAAGCTTATAAACACAGGCAACTGCATAGAAGCACTATACATAACATATATATAACATAGAAGAGAAACCAAAGGTTCTGGCACATCAAAAAAGGCAAAAGACAATTTAGCATTCTGGAGCTAATTTAATTGTCATAAAATTTCTACATTTACTTAGGGCAACAAGTCTTTATATTTTTATATATGTGCATGCATGCAGTAACTCGTTTTACTGTGACATTCTAAATGCGCTCGGAAAACTTGTATTTGCAAAGCAGAATAATTGGCAGAGGGTGAGGAATACACATGGCTTTGCACTATATATTTTAAAACATCAGTTCCACTGGACTGTCTCTCACTAATAATTTGCCCCTCTTCTTCACAGGTATTTTATTGGTGTGTTAGACAAGGACTCTGGGCAAATGGAAGTGTATAATGCTGAAATATTCAATATGCAGCCCTTGCTGTCAGGTAAGAAGATACTGTTTAACCCCAGCACCAGATTCACAGCATGCTAGACCTATGTATGCATTCAGCTACTGACTGCTTGACTGCTGACAGCAAAACTCTGTTTTCTCCCTGGCTGCTCTTTCTTCCTCATTTCTGCCTTATTCCCTTAGTATGAAGGAAGGAGGATACATTACACTCTCCTTCCGAACCACTGAATGATGTGAAAACAGGCAGAATAAATTAAGGTGAAATGTAGGGTGGATGTTAGCTAGAGAGCATTATGGGTGGGAGGGTGGAGGTTCTGAATATTCTGTTCAGAATAGTGTAGCCTTGTCTAGGTGTGCTCTGCTGAGGGAAGCCTAGAAATTATCAGGTCAAGGGACTGGATCACTGAAGAAGCAAAACAGCTGTACTTCAGCAGAACTGCTTTTTTTTAATTGAACTCAGGAGGGTAACCCAAAGAATTTGGTCTTTTGGGAGCTTATTTTTCCCCTGTGCTGCAGTCCATGTGTTATGCTCATAGACTTTGTAGCAATAATTGGCTTGTCTTTCCTTTTGTGTTCTAGGTGCATACTCTCTTATTCGATGTGTTCTGTAATTGACAAAGTCCTGTGGAGGAGATCTTGAAGTGATGTGCTTAGTGTTTTAGTAATGGATTAGAGCTAAGGGGATACCAAATAACTGTGCTGTCCTTGCTCCTGCAATCTAAGCATACTAACTTTTGTCCTTTTACAGATAACTTAGTACCTGATGACACAAAGGATTATCAGAATAAATCCTATAGGGAGAAGGTAAAGTTGAAATCCTGTATTGTATTCTGCTGTGATCCCACTAACAGTGGCAGATGATACTTATCTGAGACTGTGATGTTTAGTTTACTGCTGGGTAAACCTGTGTAGTTTCAGCACTCCCTCTGTGCCTTACGGGTCTAAGAGGTAGTGCATTATTAGTGCCTACCTTGCAGAATTTTCATAATTATTTTAGGTTTGATTGCAATCTCAGTTACTTCCTGACCCTTGCGGATCAGCACTTGTTGCATGATTGGGTTGTGCCCAGTGCAGTGTTTGAAGTTTTCTTAAGAGAGTGTGAATGTGGAACAAGTGGTGGTTAGCTGAGTTTTCTTCTTGTGTGCAAAGTGTCTTCAGTTCAGCAGTGTGTTTCAGTTTGCATCTTTCTTGCCTAGATGGATTTGTGCATTGAGGCCTTTGGTACGAGCAAGCAGAAGCGAGCTCTGAACTCTCGGCGAATGAATGCAGTGGGAAGTGATATTTTGAACACAGCTGTGACAAAAGCAGCAGCAAACATTATAGATGCAAAGGGAGTAACAGGTAATATTACTGTCTCAGGGGTTTAATGAAAGCAATCAGAAGCCCCTTTTTCTGTCTGCTCCTTGCCAAGTATGGTGAGAAGAAGAAAGGGGTTGTCTTTGAGTCACTAAGCAGGCAGCTGTAGAAGGGCACATGTGGAAGAACTCACAGGTCTTTCTAGTGGAAAAGGAGCTGCTTCCTTCTGATCCTGCTAGTCTTGCTGTGGGAGTTGCTTGAAGGAGGAAAGATTACTGTGGCATCAATGTCCCTGGCCATTACTGGGAGCTCTTCTGGGATTTCCTGGGATTCAGTGTTCTGGGATAAAGGCAGTGCATTCACCTGGTCTGAACTGAACATTCATTAAGGTGAATTGTACCACTGGCTTCACAGTGTCATGTCTATGTAAAATAGTCCATGTCCTAAATTAGGTCACAGCCCCATCAAGTGCAATTCCATGTGCTGTTGTGAGATAGGTTGATGGAATTAGGCTTCTGCTATGGAGGAGCCTGCAGCAAATAGGCAGTCTGCCATGCGCTTAGTTATTGTCACTATTGCAGGCAACATTCACTCTCCAAAGCATGATATTGAGCTGAAGCTTCAAGGAGAGTTGATAACCCTTGAGTGCTGGTGAAGTGCTGGTGAAGCTGCATCTGTATCATGTTGTCCAGTCTGCTACCCTGTCCTGATCAAGAGGGAGGTGAAGAAATGACAGAGGAGAGGGCATGCAACTTGCAGGCAGGGGCCACGCAACTGACAAGGAGAGGTAGAAGGAGCTGAGCTTGGTTAGTCTGGTAAAGAGGAGGCCAAGGAGGATCTAACAGCAGCCCAGAGCTACTTGAAGGGCAGTCAAAGCCAAACCCTTTTCAGCAGTACCAGGCAGTACAAGAACCAATAGCACAAGCTGCAGTGGTACCTGAACCTTGAGAGGACCAGATGGGAGACTGAGGGAGCTGTCTTGCCTTAGAGGGTTGTGGAGCCCTGCAACACATCCCAGAGAGGTGTAGACTCATCATCCTTGGGACTTCCAAGCTTTGGGAGGACAAATCTAGGGTTGCACTGATACTGTGCTGTATACAGCACTACTCTGAGCAGGAGGTTTGACAGGAGACCTCCAGAGCTCCTTTCCACTAGTGCTTCTGGGATTGTCAGTTTCATTGGCTATGAATGGGAGAGATGTCTGTTGACTATAGAACCCATCAGCTCTCATCCGTTCTGTTCCAGCTGGATAATGTCTGTGCTCTTGGAGCTGCTTTGTGCCAAATGGCTCTCCAGTGGAACCCATAGTGCAAAAAACATATACTGTCCACCCTGCAGGCAAGAGATGCAGCAGCAGCAGCAACTAGTTTGTTTTGGTGCACTTCTTTCCCAGATTTTTATCTAGTCTGGAGAGGCTTTTCTAAATTTTAAGGAGCAGGAAGTTCTTTGTGGAAATGGTGACACTATGCTAAACCCAGGGTGCTGAGTACATAGCAGGCATGTCAGAAACTGTCAGCCTTTTTGTGCCTATGGGAATGCTTTCTGTACAGTCACCACCTCCGTGTGTCAGGAACAAAACAAAATGTGGAAGAGCTGTAGCCTTTCCTTGCTACTGTCCCAAGTGAAATAAACTGGTGTTTTAAACTAGTGACTAAACTGGTGTTGATGCAAGAACCACCATGGAGTAGACTTGTATTTAAAGAAAGGATTTGGGTTGCGGTCATATTCTCAGTGTTTTTGTTTGTATGGTGCAAATACTTTTCTTTCCTGCTTCCCTCCAAAGCTCTGATCCAGGATGTGGCCCAAGATGATGTACAGAACATCTCTACCTTCCTCCCACCATGTAATGAAGATGCTAACAAACCAGAAAATGTTTACAAGTTTGAGGACAGTATCTTTTTCTGTGGCACAGTGGTTTCTTATACAACTGTAAGCCTTGATGTCAGTGATCTGACGTGTGGGAGTGAGTGTTGCAAAGTGTGTGAATGAGCCAAGCCGCCTTCCCTCGCAAGCCAAAAGCTGAGAGCAGTGACACAATGTGTTGAGATTTCTCCCTTATTCTGCCTCTTTGCTACAAGAGAGCAGGATGCTGTGCCTCGCTGTTGGCAGTAGTTCGACTGAGATTAGGAATGGTTAGCTATGCAGACATGACTTGGGGTACAGTTACAGTCCTTTAGAGACCTTTGTTGTTGGCCAGCTTCCAAGTGTTGCAGTTACATCCTGCCTATTTGTAATTTCATTTCATCCTTCCCTGCCCCGTATCTCCTAAAATTAGAATGGATGTAGCTTATCTCACTGTGGGCTGTTCAGACCAGAAAGGAGAGCAAAGGTGTTTTGTTCTTTTCTTTAAAATCCCTCCAGTTCTGTCCCCAGCAGAGTATGAAGCATTGCGGATTCCAGCAGCAGCTTTTGTTAACATCACTCCAGAAGAAATCACCAAGAAAACACAAGAGAGAAGGTAATGCTGCTGCAAACAGCTTCTTAATAGTCGATGTGCCCTGTGAAGCTGTAGTTTATCTGTGGATCAAGATGGCTACTGCTGCCAGCTCCAATGTACCCAGGCTGACCTCTTCAGTGCAGAGGGAGGACATTTGATCCAGCCACAGCTGAGCAACATTTACCCTGGGGAGTATGTGGTATAATTGTATACATGTGAGGAAACTGTGTGCACAGCAGCATGGTTGTTCTTTGGGGAACTGATTGCAGAGGAAGAGAGTGGAGAAATCCTAAGTGGGGTCTGAAGGCAGGTGCCTAGAAGATGGACCACAGAACTACTGAACATGATATTCCCATGGCTGGGCACTGTCACAGCCAAATAGTGATTTGCTGTTGAGGTTGCTGTGGCTTGCCATGGACATACATTTAGAGCTATTAGGCTGTTTGCTAAGGGTCTGAAGTGAGCAGGAAGAGCATAAACCGCACCTGTGCTTCCTGCCTGTGCTGAAGTAGAGGTTTGTGTGCCACATGAACAGCCTCCAGTTTCTGCAGTGCAGGGACCTTTTTTAGTAGCTGCACACTAAAAGGGGCTGGCTGAACATGGTGGACAGGAAAGTGTGCTCACAAAGCAGTCTCCTGGGCTGTCCTTAGAGGTGTCCAGGGAGTAATTCTCAAACAGGTGAGCATTGAAGTTACAGGAGTGTCCTGTCCTTCTGATGATATAAATTGATTCCTGATTCTTTGAGCCTCAGCCTCTCCTTTCTTCTTCAGCCATTGCTGCTTTGTTTTAGAAGAGCTGAAGTTCCTGCCTGCTAATGAGAAGAGCAGAGATCACAAAGCCCGATGCCTCTGGTTCCTGGACACCCTTATTAAGTTCAGCTACCTGAAAGTGATCAAAACAAAGTGTAAGAGTTTTCAGCTTCTCTACTTTTAAGCTGTGACTTTTTAATGCTGAGACTTGTTTTGTAATTACTGCAGTAGAAAATTATGAAGCTGCCCAGAATGAGTTGAGTGATGAAAGAGCTAGCTAGTGGTTGAAAGGCTGCAGCTAGCTGCAGCAGTTTATTTCAGCCTATTTCATGCTGAAGTTGATGATCTCCATGTTGTTGAGGGTTGCTAGATCTGCATCTGCTGGGAGATGGATGTTTGCAACTGGTGTGCATCGGAATGGCACCATGAGATTCTCTTTGTAGGAGACAGGATAGCTTAGATTGGAAATTGAGATTCTCCCTAGTTTATCAATAGTGCTGCACTTATAAACAAGTTTTATGTTTTCACACTTTAGTCCTAAGCCAAGAAGCTGGAAAGTGTTATCCAGCCTCCGTGTTCCAGGTGCAAAAGGCATTCAGTACACAGTACATACTTTATCTTTCTTTTTGTGCTTTTGTCTTCATCATCCTTTGCTTATTAGTTCAGTCTGTGGGTCACGGTGATCGTATCTCTGTTACGTTCAGGGTTCTGCTTTTAAAATGTCAGGAACTGCTGTTTTCAAAATGACTACACAAAATATTTTGGTTGAAATCTTCAGGACTTACCATCTTCCATAGAACTTGTGTATCTCCTTGTCAGTGGTGAAAACGTCATTGTTGGCATTTTCAATGGCAGGGAGTGGTGGAGGAGGACATGGCAAGCCTGGTTGTGAATATCCTCCTGCGCTGCTGTAAACAGAGGAGTCACCCTGTAGAACTTAGTCAAGGATGACATGGAAATGACAGGTCTTGGGTGCTAGTAGGAATTCATTAGCGTGGTTTCAGTTTTAATAATATTTTCTGACAGGACCATCTATTGAAAGGTAGAAATCTATTAAAAGAAATATATGCATAGGTGCACGTGCCCACATTCTAGATTGTGTAGTGTTGATGTAGGAGATCCCATTTAGAAAGAAAATAAAAGCTGTTAGGAGCCTCTTTCAGACCTGAAAAATGATGAGACCTAGAAATCAAGTGCTGAGGTTTCTTTTGGGTTTTCTATGTTCCTGGGAAGAGTGATGAATGTCATAGTGATAGGTGTGCTCTTATGGGGGCTGGAGTAGTAGTACAAGAAAGAGTATGTTCATTCCACTGTAAAATCCTTTTCTGTCCTAGATCCAATGGGTCCTGAATGCCCACAGATTATTAGCAGGAAACTCATGAAGCATTTCACTTCACTGACCTACAACAATAGCAGGTAAGGAATTATGTTTGCTTTTATTTTCTTGAGCCAGACATACAGCAGAGTTCAGCTTAAAGGTCTATGGACACATTATCAGGAAACCTACCGAAATGTAAGTAGATTTTCTTGATTCATGCCTCCATCCCTGCAGAACACTGGGTTGTGGCTGGTGGTAGGCACTTTCAGACAATGCTGGTCTATCATGTAAAAACGGGGGAGATTTTCTCAACCCCTAGTGTTTGATCTATTTGTCAGAGCCCCAAGAAAGCTGAGACCCTGTGCCCAACCAGTCTGTTAATAGAGACCATTGACTGAGCAGTCCTGCTGGGTCAGAGGGTGATTCAACTGACTTGCTCAGGGAAGTGCTCTTGTTATAACAGAGCCTGGCAATCCTGTTGAATGGAAGTACCAAAATAAAGGGAAGAGTGAAGAGTGTCCTCGCTCTTGCCAGTGTCTTCTCCGTGTTCAGAGAGGCAACACCCACTCTGCCTAGAAGGGGCATAACGGTGATGCTTTGCTATTGCATAGCTGTACTACCACTGTTGATCTATCAGAAGCAGAGAGTTTGAGTCCAAATGGGCCAGGTTTTGTCTGAAGACTCTGACCAGTGACAAATGGCAAGCAGTCAAGTGCTCCGAGAGGATCACCAGACAGGGATCTGATTTGTATGGATTATGTATTTGAGGTGCCATTAGTACTTACACTGAATACCCTCAGAACAGCTTTCCTTTGGCACCTTCTTGCAAGAGACCAGTGCCAAAGAGACTGAAGTGTTGTTAGCTGGTGGATTTGTCAAGGCTGCATAATGATAACCTCAGGGGCCCCCTACTTCTGAACAGAAGTAGGCACCTGAGGTGGACAAAGAAGTCTGTTAAGCCCCTGTGATCAGAGGTGTGCTGCTTTGAGCTCTTCTTTGGTGTCTAGGAAAAGTCCACCATGTCTAACTGGGGCTCCAGTTCTGTCTGCACCTAGTGGGGCTTGTGTTCTGGGTTCACTGACACTTCACATCTCATGTGTTCTTCCTCTTGCCATGCAGTGTCCAGAATTTAATCTCTGCATCAATGAAGGCTAAAATCACAGCATATGTCATTGCACTGGCTCTGCACATTAACAACTTCCAAATCGACCTCACAGTCCTGCAGAATGACTTGAAGCTCCAAGAAAGCAGGTGAGTTGTCATGTTTGTTCACACCTGGTTAGATATGCTGTGACCCTCCTACAAAGAGCTCTGAGGAGAGATCTCACTCTGGAGCCCCTCTGGTACCTGAGTAGTACAGTAATACCTGCTAGCAAGTCCCTTTTGTTGTAACTGGATTCTATCTTTTACGAGTTTGTTGAAGCTTTATTTTGAAGCCCTGTTATTTGTAAAGGGGAGTGGTTACACATCTGAAACTTAGAAAGGGTGCTTGCCACAGAGGTCCTCAACTGCATCAAAAGGCTCTTCAGCTGTTCTGCAGGGAAGAAAATAAAGGCAAGGCAGTATAGAGGTAGCCAGGTGGGGCGGATTCTACGACAGGACTTACTCCCTGCCACTCAGCTCTGTTTCTTGCATGATAAATCACATCACTCTTGACCTTCTTGACCTCTGTGTCCCTTGTCCTGCAGAGCTCCAGTCCCTGTTAGGTACCAATTTGGGTGTAAGTAGTACTTCAAAGGTACCTGTAAGGTTTGCAACTGACTGCAACAGGAAAACTAGAAACGGGTTTTCTCCCACAGTTGCACGCTGAGCATGTAGTTGTATTTACATGGAGGAATCCCAGGCCCTTGAAATTTATCCATTCTGGGCTTGGCTCCAAGAAGATTGTTTTTGAAATGCTGACAAACTTGGGGACTCTGCGACAAACATCATGGGGAGAGGTTGTAGGCAGAAATGCTGGCCATATGGCATATGCTGGCAGTATTTGAAATGTTTGCCAAATCGCATCTAGTGAAAGTGAATGGGTAGAAAACAGCTTGCAGAATAAGCTTCAGGGCAAAGAACCCTTGGTGTGTTAGCTCTTCGGGGCAGTTGCTCCATAGACTTCAATTTTCTAAGGAGTGTCATGCACCTGCCATTAGCTGCAAGACCTGCTTTTCCCAGCAGGTGTCAGTCGGAGCCTGCTGCCAGCTCATCAGGCTCTGGGAGTTCTATTCCAGTTTATGCACTGTACTGTCTCTCAGCCCCCTGCTGAATTAATCAGGCATCGATGAGAACTGCTCAAGAAGTACACTGTGCTTGATGAGAAGCTTCCCAGCAAGCAGACATCAGCTCAGCAGGCACTTTTTTATTAATTGTGTCTGGAAAGAGATCAGGTGCCTCTGTTAGTGACTGCTCAGCTGTGCTGATTAGTACCTGTCTCACACCCTGTCCTGTTTTGTGGGCAATGGTTACACCAAGGACATGTGCTTCCTAACTCAGTCACTGAGACTGTGGTCTTTCTTATCAGGATTGCTTAGTGAGTGTGCATCTGGGTAGGAACTGTGGAGGGACACAAACCCTTCACTGCAACTCAGAAAAACACTGTGGCATATCCTAGGGTTTCTGGCTGAGGGGTGTAATGTTACGGTCCATTAATATCGGGAGGTAATCTGAGCCCTTAGTCACCTCCTCATTTTGCAAGTTCCTTAGTCAGCCATGATGCAGTTACTTCTAAGTTTGTCCCCAGTTGTGCTCTTTATTCTTTGATGTGTAGTAGTGGGTTTTAACAGCAGTGTTTGCTATTAGTTTCCACCTTCTGTTTCTTGTTTTCTTTTTCTCTCTTGGCTTTTCCCCTTTCCCCTTTCTTTTCATTCTTTTTGTTCTTCTCATTATTTTTTCCTTTTTTCATTTTCTTTTTTTTTTAATTTTTCTTTTTCTTGTTGCAATTAAGTTTTTTTAAGGAATCTGTGTTGGCTTTTTGCAATTGATACCAAAATTTTGTTCTTAACTACTGTACTGAAGCTGAGAACACAAGCCATAGGATGCTGTTGAGAAAAGGTGGAGGAGGCTAGGACCTGTTGGAAAAATTGTGGAGAGACACATAGCCCCAAGTCCCCTGATGGGATGATCCATGCTTCAAGTGAGAGGTTTGACTGAAGAACCCTTCCCAACTCAATCTGTATGTCTTTCAAAGATACAAAGTCAGCTGGGAGGATTCTGGGACTTGAGTGTTCTCAAGACCCCAGATGAAATCGGGACATATATTTCTCTGCTAGCTTCCCTTCAGTTGCACTTTGTTCTCTCTGTTGGACAAGCTTGCAGGTGTGTTCTGATTGTGCCTTCTTGCCCAAACTCTTCACATTATACATCTCAGCCAAGCCTCTCTTCTTAAGGTAAGAATGCTCAATTTTAGTTGCTAAGAGACGTTCTTGCTATACAAAGTTCCATTCATCATAAAATACACAAGAGATGAGTGCACAGGGAAGCAACCATGGGCTGCCAGCAGCAGCATCTGAACACAAACAGTGCCTGTTCTTTTCATAGGGAAGCATTATTTTTCTCTCAGGTAAGCTTGAGTAAAGCAGTGTGGGTTTAGAATGCTATCCAAGGTGCTGGTGCTGAGCTCAGTAGCCTTCTAGTCTCCCCAGGAACGATCTACCTCATAGTCTTTGAATACTTTCAGCATCTGTCTCCATGGTATCCTTGACATGCAGAGAACACATCCTGCTTGCTCATGCCTTTTGGCTTCTGCCCTGTGGCAAAAGCCTGTTAGTTGATTTTTTTTTTTGTGGAGTATCATAGGACAGAAGACTTGTGCACCCTGCTCACACAGTGTTTCTCTGGTGTTTTCCAGGATGATGGACATCGCAAAGGCCATGCGGTTGAAGGTCTCCAAGGCAAAGGGACTGCCAGAATTTGAAAATGATCAGAACCACAAGCTGGGCACTCTTTCTCTCCCCTTGCCTATGCAGAAGGCATCAGGGAACCAAAAGAAGCGCAAGAAAATGAACTAAAATGTCTGGGAGGGGCAAAACAGTTGTTTTCTCACTGCTGTTCCACATCATAGGAGTGTTTTTGTCTGTTGGGTTTGGCTGTCCAGCATCAGCACATAACCCTGCTGAAATCCTCTCTCAAGGCTGGGTTGCAAGATATGTTCACCTTATTAAACTGCTTTTTTTTTTTCATTTATGTAGAAAAAGCTGTAGTAAAACCTTTTTCTTTTTTCCTGTCTGTATGAGGGGAGAAAGATGTAGGTTGTGCTGGAGCAAGAAGACATGGTTTGAAACTACAGGTCCTCCACTGACTACTGAGGATTCTCAGTACCTGGGAGAGAGACTGCTGGGTTAATTTCTCTGTGTATTCAGTCTAGTCCTGGGCTCCAAGGCTCATTCCAAGTGTATACTAAGCAAGGCTGTAGGAATCTGGGGCTTCTGAAAAGCTGAGGATTACCTCCAAGAGAAAAAGCTTATGTGAAACAGTAACATGGGCTGTCAAGAGCAGTCTTCTCTTTGAGGTGTTTTTGCTCCAGATTGTAATTTGAGTTTAGTACATAATTCTGGGATTTAAGAGTAATTCATTGCACACCTTAGTGACTCACTACTCGCAGCTCTGTCACTCACAGGAGTGACAGAAACATCCAGTTTTCTGAGTAAAGGAGAATTAATCCCATGGGAATTGGAGGCTGCAGATAGGAATGTTTCTATCACAGAATTGCTGATACTGGAAGGGAGCTCTTGTGGTCACTTTATCCTGTCCCCCTGTGCAACCAGGGCCACCCACAGCTAGGTGCTTTCGCGAAATGAGTAGCTTAGTGTTAAAGAACGTTCTTCAAAGGTTTTGGCAAGAGCAGTTTTAATGTGATCTATAAAGGCACAACCTAACAGAATTCAGTGGCAAGGTTCACTCTTACGTATTACATGGATGACCCATACAAAGGAAAATCGAGGTAAAATTGAGCTAGGGATGGTTGATACAGGGACCAAAGTCACAAAGGGTAAGGGAAACCCTCCTGTTGAATTACGAGATTCAGAGTAGACCATCTTCCTTTCTAAATTCCTTATGGAACCTAGGTTCAGCAGGATCTAGTCTTGGTCTCGGATATGCAAACCATCCTGATGTTCAGCTCTTCCAGCACCACAAAGAACATCACACAGGGAGGCAGGCTACCCACTGCAAGCTGCTGCAGCCTCCCTGCCCCAGGTGCTGAGGAGCAGAGGGGCTCCAAGCTGCAGGCTCCTTTGCCCCGTAGAAAAGTACAGGAGAAGCAGCATGTAACAGTTGAAGCCCACCTCGGTTGATGTCACAGAAGAGTCTGGGTTTTAGCCTCCTTCAACCATCCTCCTCACGCTAGGGATGAGGTGAGAGGCTTTATCAGCCATGGGACTGCTGCTCTGAGAGAAGCCCCAAAACCAGATGTGTGGTGCAGATGCGACCATGGTTGATGGTGGGAAACATTAGACACAGTAGCAGGAGCAGAGGTAGTGCTGCATTGGAAATGATAGCCTGCAGAGCACATGTGGGCCCTGCTGCACATGAGTAAGGTGTCACATGCCATCCCCTGGGCTTCCACCTGCCTCCTGTCAGAAGGAACAAAGCCCAAGGGCCGCAACCCCACCACCAGCTCCTCCTCCCCAGTGTGATCCTGAATCTCTGGCTTGCTGTTGAGATGCAGAGGAGAAGAGCAACCAGGCTGATCATGAAATAAAACTACCAACTGAGCACAGTGCCTGCCACAGACTGCCTTGGCATCCTCTCAGGAATGCTCACCAGAGATGGCTCCACTCCAACCAGGCTGTGAAGTGAGTGGAGGAGCTTCTGCAGCAGTGAACCAGGGTGGGAAAGCAGTGCATGTGACAAGCAATGCACAATCACTATCACTGGCTGGGGGTGTAGGGCTGGGTGCTGCACTTCAATCTGCTGTTCTGCTGCAAGGGTAAGTGCAGTCAGTGCAGGGACCATCCATCTTCTCTGGCCAGACAGCTGTGTCCTTGCTGTCCTTGGTTGCCCCAGCATGGCTGTCCCTCCTCTCACTGCTGCCTGCTTGGGGCAGTGGCTGTGGCTGCCTGTTCAGGCAAGGCCTGGCAGCTAAGGAATGCCCCTACCACCCTGCCAGAGTAGTGCAGGCTACCAGCAGTGCCCAGGGAATAGAAAACTGCTTGTGGGCTGCAGGGCCTGGTGTGACATGTGTGCCAGCCTCTAGAAAGAAGGGCCAGGCAGGAAGAACACACAATGTGCTCATACTGGACATCCACACTTCCACCAGCAGCTGCAAGTGTGTGAAGGAAGAGAAGCTGTGAAACCATCCTAGAGGCAATCCTCCAGGAACACACGTTTGGCTGCCTGGGGAGGCACCTACAAGAGGCAAGAAATGCAGGCACCTGCCCCAGCTGGGTCCCACACACCAAACCCTGGGCCAGGATTGCTTTGCACTGGAGGGTCCTGGCTGTGCAAGGACATCGAGCCCTTGCCAGCTCCACCACCCTCCCACTTCATGTATCACCCTGCTCCCATCTCACATCCATGCATTCCACTGCCTCCCACTGCCTGGTGCTCTGATACCCATCTCTCTCAACAACAGCCTCTGGTCTAATTCCTAGCTGAGCAAATTCTCACTGAGAGCAGCAGCTGGGCTGGCCTCATCTCCCTCCCATTTGCCACCAGTTAAAACCAGGCTGCTGAGCAAACTGAAAGCAAACGAAAGAGAACAACGGAAGAGAGGCCAAAATGCTGGATCTGCATTTGTTGCCAGCCTAAGTCCTATGAAAACAGCCCCATAGCATCTCAGAGCTGCTGAAGAGCTAAATTCAGCCTCCACTCCCTCCTGCTACTACTATGTCCATGGGTCAGCCTTCAGGATGGCACCTTTGATACAGGTATTCCTTGGAAATAAAGGAGGGGTCTTCCACTGGCAAGAAACAAGGTGTTTCTGCACAGGAACAGTGATCTTGGGTGGGGACTGCAGATGAGGAGCTAGCAGAAATCACAGCAGCACCCTTTCCCAGAGTCAGCTGGAAAAACATCCCCCCACCTTCCCTTGCACAAAACTTTTCTCTGCAGTCTTTAAAAGCAATAAACTGAAAAGTGGGCCCAGATCCTGAGCTGCCCTGACCAAGCAGTGGGGATGGTCTTGCTCTGGGCTGGAGATGATCTTCCACAGCTTCCCTCACACTGGGGGATTTTTATCACCCCAGTCCTTGTTCCTGTCTGAAGAGGAACACAGGCACAGAGGTGAACTTTGGGCAAGCACTGTGCTGAGAGAAAACCTCAATTCAGCCTCCAGCACATGTCCTGACCCAAAATCCCTCCCCTGAGGGTCTCCTGAAGCAGCCACATCTGGCCACGGCAACTGTCAAGACCAGAGGCTGACACCACAGTCCTGCAGTCCCTGCATTTGTGGTATGTGATTTGCAGCACTTTTATAGGGTGAGAGTTTAATTTACAGGTAGAGCAGGCCTGACTACATGACCCCAGCATGCCACCAAGTTAACATCTCCAATTGCAATTACATGAAGAAAGCAGGTGGCTGCAAGTGACCTGCCTTTCATTTGGGCTGGTTAACACAGGCAACGCATAGAAAAGGAGACAGTGGAGCAGGAGGGAGAGGGAAGAGGGCTCACAGCAGTCTTCACAGCACCTTTCTGTTCTGTATGCAGCACACTCGTAGGTAAGATCCCTGAAGATGGTTCCTTCCAGTTTTGCTTGCCCTTGTGAATAAATGAATAGTCCTCCCTTCCCATCCCTGAAAAGGCACTGTCAGATGATGCAGCCTTGCAGAGAGTTGGCCAAAGACTGGGCCTCCTTGTCCTGCTGCAGCTCCTGCTGCAGAGACTTGAGTTTAAGGTCCCTCTGAAGAGTGTGCAGTCTGTTGCTTTGAAACCTGCTGTCCGTAACATTAGCAATTGTGTCACTCAGACTGTGAGCTTGATAGGGCAGTTTGTAGGCAGCCTGAGCATCCTCTGCATTGTTGCTGTTTAAGTCACTGTCACTAGAGTTTGAGTTGAGGGCTGGGGATTCCTCCTCCTTTGCTGCCTGCAAGCCGTCTCTGAATTCAGTGCCTTCCTGGGCTGAGCCAAGCAGGGCTTGAGCACCAACAGCAGAGAGGAAGCTGCTTTGTCCTTACCCTACAACAATCTCAAGTGTTCTCACTGGCCCCAGCAGTGATTCCCTCACAGCCATCCTGCTTGGCCAAAGGGCAGCCAGCTGGGTTGGGCTCCCGTATGGACACTGCATGGGATTGGCCAGCATGGCCAGGTGCTGCAGGCCCAGTTACAGTTAGAGCTTGGGCAGCCCTCCACAGTTACAGAGGCAGTCCCACTGCTGGTGAACTCGCAGCTCTCCAGGATGCAGAGGGCCATGCTGTGGAGGTAGATGCTGAACTGGCTGAAAGTGCAGAACTTCACCTGGCACGTCCCTGGTGCATGGATCTGCAGCTGCCCATTTTCAAAGTTGCAACTGTCTAACTGGACATAGCCTGAGCTTGTCTGGAGAGTAAGCACAAAGTGAGTTCATTGCACAAAGCAAGAAAAAGTGGTCCTGGACATCAAGTCTTTCCACAGCAAACAAGCTCACTCTCACAATATGCAGTCAGGTGTCACAAAAACAAGTTCACACAGACATAGATGCAGTGCTGCAAGCCGAGTTAGCAAGTGCCTTGCAACAAGTGATATCTACTGACTTTCTTCCGTGCTGGCAACATTTCCTTAACTTCACAGGCAAGACACAGCTTTGCAGTTGTCGTGGTTTATCACTTCAATGTTTAAGTGGTTTAAGCCACTTTAATGTGGTTAAACAGTTGCTCAGGGAGGCCCAGCAGTCACAAGAAGGAGCGGACAAGGCCTGATGTGCCAAGATCATTAAACCTTAGAAACACTCTCTACACAGTAGTTTGCAACTTCAGAGATGCATATTGGCCACTGGGCATTGTTAATGGACTCATGGGTTTACTGGGTGAATCAGAAGTTAAGACGACATCAAACATTACATGGGTGACCTGGAGAGCTACAATTCTCCCCTGAGCCATTAGCATAATTGGTGAAGGATGCTGCACCCACAATGTATCAAGTGCAAAGCAAAGAATGTAAAATTTTGTGCCATACTGTTGCACAGGCATTGTGTTGTGACACTGCAGTGGCAGAGACACAATCAATTCCTTGTTCCCTCGCTGTGGTTAACCATCTGACTTACTGGTGCTTGCAGAACTGTGAGCCATCCCTACCGTGACTTTTCTACTTTGTTAAGCAATACATATAGCAATTTCTGGGTGCTGGCATACCACCAGGATGATTGTGCATGGCCAAATATCTCTGCTTATCTACTGAAAAGGCGAACTGTAATGCAACAAGGTACAGAGGAGCCAGGTCAGAAAAGCTGAGTAGTGTGCTTAGAATTTCACAGTGCTCCTAATTTGACAAGAATCTCTTAAATCATTATTTTCTCTTCCTTGATTGGTGCACCACATTAAAAGCAGACTGAAAATAGCTTGTGACAAGTGAGCTGGGGCAATTTTACAGATATCCAGAGTCTGCAGCCAACATAAAGTCCTAACATCTGCTTTCAGCCTTGACCAACCTCAGAAGTGGTCATACTGCAGAAAGGTTTTGAAATGCACTTATTTGTACCCCAAGACAGTAACACAGAAATCCCTTCAGACCACTAGCCTGCTCCAGACTTAATCATAGCTTCCCATTTTCTAATTAAAAAGCACTAATAAACAGAGATACAATCAAATAAGCTTCTGAGAGGCTGCTTGTGAAAACCTTTCTGAAATTGCAACTTGCAGGGTTCTTATGACTGCCAGTAAGATTGCTGTAAGTTTGCTTTTTATGATTTTTCATTGATGGCTTTGTGGGGAAATGCCTTCATTTCACCAACTGCAGCTGCACATGGAGACCAGAGCAACAGTCTGAAAGGCGAAATGCAGCCACACTGACCAGCCAAATGCAGGAGATATTACTGAGCAAGACACCACATGTCTGCATTAGCAACCCAGCATGTGGCCACGGACAAACAGGGACTGTTTCAGCAGATTTGCAACTCAGTTTTCCCACCATGTGCCAGTGCGTTATCTTTCTCCTGAGGACTTTCAAACTGATTTACATATGATAGCATGACCAGCAGGTTGAAGGAGGTGGTCCTGCCCCTCTACTGTGCTCTCATGAGACCTCACTTGGAGTATTGTGCGCAGTTCTGGTGTCCTCAACATAAGAAGGACATGGAACTGTTGGAACAAGTCAGGAGGGCCACAAGGATGATCAGGGGACTGGAGCACCTCCTGTGTGGAGACAGGCTGAGAAAGTTGGGTCTGTTCAGCCTGGAGAAGGCTGCATGGAGACCTCATAGCAGCCTTCCAGTATCTGAAAGGGGCCTACAGGGTGCTTGGAGGGACTCTTCATTAAAGGCTGTAGTGATAGGACAAGGGGTAACGGGTTAAAACTTATGCAGGGAAAGTTTAGATTGGCTATAAGGAGGAAGTTCTTTACTGTAAGGGTGGTGAGGCACTGGAATGGGTTGCCCAAGGAAATTGTGAATGCTCCATCCCTGGCGGTGTTAAACCCCAGCCTGGACAGAGCTTTGGATAACATGGTTTAGTGTGAGGCGTCCCTGCCCATGGCAGAGGGGTTGGAACTAGATGATCTTAAGGTCCTTTCCAACCCTAACTATTCTGTGATTCTATGATATTATATGTGATATCATAAAATTGTGAAAAGGAAATGAAAGTGTACATTATAGCTAATGATGGGCTGACTTATCACAAGGAAAGTCTTTTTTTTTGGAGGCACAGCCCATGGGTGCAGCATTCATGATGGGCATATCCCACTCTAGACCAGTCAGCAACTGTCTATGGGGACCAAAGCCTTATCAGGGTAGACTACGGCAAGAGGGCTAAGCCCACAATACTGTGTTCTGCCTTAGGTATGCAGAAGACCCTGGATATCCCAGCTGAGGGCTCCCAGCCCAGGCTGAGGCAGAGTGCACATCAACAGCATCAAGCTTTTGGGGCAGAGGGGCTGATGTGGTGCACACTGTAAGGACTGCCAGCTCCCGGGGTACTTCTTGTACACCCAGCTTCTTAGGTTGCTCACACCTCGCCACATGGACAGTTGGAAAGGTGGCTGGTGAGAAGGGGAATATCACAGAACAAAGGAAAATGCCCACCAGCCTGGGAGCCAGAAACATCCCTGAGAAGCACAGATACACCTCTGAAGTGCAGCTGGGTACTAAAGACATCCTGAGATACCACCAACAGGTGAAACATACAAGGGACTGCAATGGCAACCTATCATCTGGAAAAGTGGAAACAGGCCATAAAAATAAAATCACTCTGAAAGAACAAAACCCATCATTATTAGCTGCTGCAGGTGAAAAATTTAAATCAACAGCATTTACCGGTTGCTTGAAGTGGTGGTGTGCTACAGCCCCTTAAAACAGACTTTTTATCCAAAATTAAGCCTCTCTCTGAGAATGTCCCATCCTGCATATACTTTTCCTTTGGCCCCCCTTCTGGGGTTGATTCAGTTTGCTCTCCTGCCCCTGGGATGGCTGGGCTCCCTTCTAAATGGAGTAACAGACACACCCACTCTGAGTGAACAGCGCTTTGGTCCAGGTAGCACAAACAGCCATGACTAAAGTCAAACCTGCAGTGCAAACAGTGCCAGGCCAGACCTCCTCAGGGACTAAGAAGCTAGATCAGGTCTTATCAGGAGCTAACAGTGCCAGCCTGAGCTGAGAAAACGGTTAAAGCTAACAAAACAAAAACTGCTATAGCTGTGCACCTACACAAAGAGTGGGGGTTGACTAGTCCATCACTTTGAGTCCTCCTCTAGGGTTGCACTGCGGTGACCTCCCTCAAGGAGGCATGCCTCTCAAGATTACTCCCTCGGCCTGAAAGACTCCTTAATATGGCATCTGATAAGAGGTAATATGATATGAGGCATCATAACGAGGTAAGCAATGTTTTACAGTAGGCCTACCTAAAAGTATGTTCTATATTGATGACATTTATATATCCAGCTGTTGTGTATTTAAAAGTATAGTAAGCAGTAGTGTTCGACCACCATCTAAATTATTGTTTAAATCATTTAAATCAGTGTCAAATCATTGTCAAATCAGTTTCATTACCATTTGATTATTGCTTAATCATAATTTTACTACCATTTAATTATTATGCAATCACTGACTAATTATAATTTGATCATCATTCAACCACTAATAAATCCTCTAGTTTACACCACAACAATGACCTCTCCTAATTCACAGCTGGTTTGATCCCTTCTGAAATCTAATTCTCCTGATAAGTGTATTATATTATCTACATAAGTAACCTATCATAAGCATATCTGTTATTGTATTAGTGGTAAATTTGCAGTAACCTGTAATAATATTTACCTACTTGTTTGCTACTGTTATTGGTTGTTGCTATAAGATTGTTGCTATTACTGATGGCTGCCATACTATCGATTAGTACTGTATCACTGATCGCTGCTAGTAATCAGTAATAGCCTGATATTTATATTTGCTTTATTACACAAAGACATTTTTGTGGCATTTGTGGCAATCTGTAATCAAGTGGAGACGTTTGAAGGATAAAGCCTCTGAGCCCCTATGTGTTAAGGAGTCCAAGAATTCCTGGGTGTGCCCTCTGAACACCCAGGGAATTCAGGTGGCCTCTGGAATCCTCTGGAATCCTCAGGAATTCTTTGGTGACCTCGCCATCCCCACGACTCTGCCTCGCCAAGCCTCACCTTGTAGAGCACCTAGGAGAAGCGGGACAGCATGAAGACCACATTGTGGAAGTGAACAGTGGGACAGTCAATGCTTGCCAGCAGTGCCACATCCCCCAGTTTGGCCTGCCCCACAGCCTCCACAGGCACCTTCAGCAGCACCTTGCTCTGCTCATGTGCACCAGGTAGCAGCACAAGGTGGGGCTGGCAGTGCCAAGGGCTGCCTGGAGCCTGCTGAACTCAGCCCCTATGCTAACACAGAGCTGGCACCAGCCCTTCCTCCTCTGAAAGAGAGAGATGCAGCTGGAGGACTGCACATCCTGCATGTTTTTGGTCCAGGTTTTGGAGGACAGGTAGTGCTGTTTGAAGGCCTCTCTCCAGGACTGTGGCTCCACAGGCTGGTTAGGCCAGTTGGGGTATCTGTGCTCAAGGCAGCCCCAGGCAGAGCCATCTCCTGTTTTGTCCAGGCTCAGGATGAACTCATACCAGGCTGTGCAGACCAAGCTGCAGCAGCCCAGGTCAGGGAGGCACAGGTAGGCTAAGATGAGCTGCCACAGCTACACTGGCAGGCTACCAACCTCCATCAGCACTTGCAAAGGACAAGACACAGAGTCAGTGGTGTGTCCAGAGAGCTCAGGGCAGGGACCCCATGTTGACAGTGACACGCAAGTCCCCACTGAACATACCTCTCCAGGGACAGAGCTGTACAGGAGCAGGCCCAAGGTAGCAGGCTGGCACACTTCAGGTAGACATGGGATCTGACCAAGGGGCGCTCAGCACTCATCCTATGGTGTGCTCCATCCACCATCACCCCTGGCCCTCCCTCCCTCCCTTCCTCCCTTTCCTGCTATCCCCATTCATGGGTCAGCAATGCCCAAACAACCTGTTCTGAGGTCTCTGCTCTTTCAGGGTGTTTAAAACTTTGTTGTTTAACTCTAAGGTTCAAAGATGCACGTAAACAAGCACATCCATCCTCCCCTAACAATGGATTTCCCACTGCAGCTTCCCCTGTCCCAGCCCCTCCTGTCACCTCCCTGGGAGAGTAGTCTGCCAGCTCCCACGCAGTGACATGGCGTAAGACCCCAGGAGCGAGGCAGGGTGGGCATGAGGACACATGCACCTCTGGTGAACGAAAAGCACGGCTGGGAGCACACGCTGCACGACACAGAGCTGCTGAGTGTTCGGCCAGGTCTTGCTGCTAGGAGGGCACAACGCGGCATGCAGGACCTGCGTGGCTAACTAGCAGGCCTTCTCCCGACGAGCGCCTGCGGTCTCCTGAGGACCACCCCTCCAGGATGCAGTACCCGATCCTGAAACAGCTTCTCCAGGACACACAAACAGGGCCAGAGAGACCTACACAAACCCAGAGCAGCACTGGGGGCTGCGAATCTGGGGAAAGAAGACACCAGGATACAAGTTCTGCAGCGCCCCCCTCCGCGGCTTTCCCCCGTTCTCTCCCCGAAATCTTCGTGGCACCCGCAAAGGGGGAATGCACCGAGCCAGCAGCACCGAGCCCCTCCCGCCCTACCGATGTGTCGCACGGGGCTGCCCGAGAGCGCTCGGCTGTCCAGCGCTTACCTCCGCCCCACCCCACCCCACCCATCATCACATCACATCACATCACATCACATCACATATCATTACATATCACATATCTCACATCACATATCATCACATTACATATCATCACATATCACATATCTCACATCACATCACATATCACATATCACATATCTCACATCACATATCATCACATATCACATACATCACATATCACATACATCACATATCATCACATATCACATATCTCGCATCACATATCATCACATATCACATATCACATATCACATATCTCACATCACATATCATCACATATCATATATCTCACATCACATATCATCACATATCATCACATATCACATATCTCACATCACATATCATCACATATCACATATCTCACATCACATATCATCACATATCACATCACATCACATATCATCACATATCACATCACATATCAGATATCTCACATCACATATCTCACATCACATCACATATCATCACATATCACATATCTCACATCACATCACATATCATCACATATCACATATCATCACATATCTCACATCACATATCATCACATATCACACATGACATCACATATCATCACACATCACATATCATCACATATCACATATCTCACATGACATCACATCTCACATCTCACATGACATCACATATCATCACATATCTCACATGACATCACATATCACATATCTCACATGACATCACATCACATGACGTCACATCACATATCACATGACATATCGCAAGACGTCACATGACGTGACGTCACGTCACGTCACATCACATCACATCACATCACATCACATCATCACATCCGCTCCCGTGCCCCACGAGCCCGGCTCCCCGCACGATGGAACCCGCACTTGCGCGGAACGTACCGTCACCTTATTGACGGGGAGCATCGGGTCACGTGGAGCGGAGACGGCGCTTCCCCGCCCTCTTCTCGTCGCCCTCTGTCCTCGTCATCCCTTGCATCGGGCAGTGCGGCTGCGTTACAAGCGCGCGCACGAGGGGCGGCGGCTGGGGGCTCAGCCCGCCGGCAAAGACTCCGGTCCCCTCCCGCCCCTCTGCTGCCGCCATGGCAACGGCCGCAGGTACGTCCTGAGGTGTGCCCCGCCACCGGCGCTCCGAAACGGATCGTTTCGGCGCGGCACGGGGGTCGCGCAAGCGCGTTGTGTCGGGGGCGGGCGAGAGAGCGTGGTTCCGTTGGGAGCGGGCTGCAGCCGCCGCCCCCCACTCCGCCACGCCGCGGGCCTGACCTTGAGCTCCCTCTCGGGGCCCAGAGCCTTAGGGAACGGGGCCACGCCTCAGCCCCCAGCCCGGGAGAGCGCCGAGCTGCTGGCCACTCAAACGGACGGCCGGGCGTTTTCTCTCGTGGCCTCCCCACTTGCTCCGCTGCTGCGGTACTGACTTGTGCTTGGCTTCTTGCTTTTAGGTCCCCTGGCGCCGTGTCCCGGAGCGGCTGCGATCGCAACCAGACGTCCCCGGTACACCGGCGCCGAGGCCGGACGGCCCTGCCAGCGTCGTCGAGAGCATTGAGGGCTCTTCAGCGGCGTCAGCCCGGCGAGTTTTGGCCTGGCACAGTGGCTCCGCGGAAGTCCCACGCCAGTAATGCAGTGAGTTTGGAAGCGTGGCTGGGGAGGGGCTCGGTGCTGCTGGCGGGCCGCTGAGCCGGAGGTAGTAATCTGGGGTTTGACATCGCAGTAGGTGATCGGCTGGAGAAACTAGTGGACGAATCCATCAGCCTTCTATGCTGACTGCATACCTTCAGGGTTTGGTTAGTATTTTAGGGTGAACATTTCTCACGATGGCGTGTGAGTTTGCAGAGCTACCTTGGTTTACTGATCGAGCAAGTGTTCAGGGTAATCTTAAACAGTGACTTGGCCAGGAGGAGTTCCTAGGCAGCATATTCGTTCCATGGCAGTCAGGATGACAGGAAACACTGCAGTCTCCTGCAGGAATTGGAAATACAAAGACATAATGCAATACCAGATACCAAATCCCTTTTTCTTTATTTTTCCCTTGTTTTTTTCAGACCTAGTGGGTCACCTGCCATCATTTTGAAGGCCATGGCGATTTAAGCAGGTAAATGGGTTGAGACTAAGTATATGTACCATATGATGTACAGACCTTGGATTAAGGAACCTGATGTCAAAAAGAATTGCATGTGCTCCCTTGCTCTGAGTACTCTGAATTTGGGTGCTGCATTGAGGGGAACTTCTATGTATAAATGGGATGTTGCAGCAGCTTCAGGTGTTCACCTATATAGGCAATTTTGTTAATTCACAACTTTCTTTTTATTTGAGAAGTGGGTTTTTTTAATGTTAAATTGTAATAAAATGGCTGCTGTGTTGATATACTTGTAGATGGTACAGGCCATACAAAGTGTGCCTGAAAACAAGGGTTCTGTCATAAACACTTCTGGGAGGACTTGCTGTGCTTGGCTCTTGCAAGTCCCAACTCAAAAGTGTGACGAGGATCCTGCAGTCCTAAACAACTCCTTACTGCACACATCCAGTACTTACACCAAAAGGAGCATGTAGCTTCTGAAACTGTCTCTCTCTCTTAGTTTTGTTTTGTCTTTGTTGTTTTGTTGGTTTTTGCCTCAGTCAGCTGTCACCCATATAAAAGACTAGTTGTCAAAGACCTTCTGAATTGTGTTGTTATTGTCTGTGATGAGACTGTTCCACACTGTTAGTTAACATGACCCACTATCCCCTAAGGCTAGCATATTTTCAAATGTGGCTTTTTAGTATATACAAGTAGAATTACAGTAATCTGAATAATACTGTAAACCACCGCATATATAGTGATGTATAAGCCATATAATACAAATTCTTGTCTCTTATGTTCCTTCTTACATTGACAGAAACACTTCATCTTTGTAAAATATTAAAGTGGCATTTTCACTTGCTAGACCTTAAAGGATTAAATAGTGTGTAAGTGTAGGGGAGAATCCAGTCAAGGTAAATATGTGTTTTGTTTTAGGAAGAAATTGTGTACTTGGTCAGAATAATCTGTCAGGTTGCTTTGAGCAATCCAGCTTGTTTCTGGATAGCTTCTGCAACACATCCTTCACATAACAGGCCTGTAGTGGCTGCACCTTGAGAATCAGGTCCCCGTGGCAGTTACAAGTATTAGCTTCAAATACCATTTTGAAATCATGGGACTCTCATGCCGGTTGCTGGCAGGTAGTATCTGAAGTTTGCAAGCCAGCACCTGCCTCACTTGATTGTTACCAACGTAGCTCAAATTGTTCTGTAATGAAAGTTAGTATTCGAATCAGCTGCAAAAACAGATTTTTATAATTGTCGAACAAGTAATCCCATTTTAAGTGATGAACAGGTGTTGCCTGGTAATGATTATTTTAGTGCTTCTCAGCTTTATTTGATAGAACTGTCTCTGGTTTTGTGTCCTTCAGAACCTCAGATTGAGCCAAGCTCAAGGTCCTAAACTTCTTGACAGAACATGAAAACAAAGTGTGGGTTCAGGAAGCAATCTTTCTCTGTGGATAAGGCTGCAAATTAATTAACTGGAATGCTCAGAAATTTTCAAAACCTAGAATTTTTCTTGTTGTTTAAAGCTGTGATTACGGTTGTGTATTAGATTTGGAATAGAGTTAATTTTCTTCACAGTAGCTGATACAGGGTTGTATTGTGGATTTGTGATGAAAATAATGTTGGTAGCACCAGGATGTTTTAGCTGTTGCTGAGCAGTGATTGCACGGAGTCAAGAGCTCTTTTGTTCCTCATGCTGCCTTGCCAGCAAGCAGTCTCAGGGTGCACAAGACTTTGGAGTGGATACAAAGTAAAACAGCTGACCCTCATTGACCAAGGGGGTGTTCCATACCATACAATGTCATGCTCGGCAATAAATCTGGGGGAGGGAGGTTGGAGCTGGGATGCTGCTCAGAGGCTGGCTCCTCTCTCTCTCTGTTGGGTTTTTCGATTTTTTTTTTTTTTTTGGGGGGGGGGGGGTGGAGAGGTGCCCCTTAAAAGATACTTCTAAAATCTTTTTAATTATTAAACTTTTTAGCTCATTTTTACTTCCCTGATTCTCGGACGGGGGAGAATGAGCATGTGATGTTTAATTGCTGGCTGGGTTAAACCACAACTAACAAATTGTTATTTAAATTACCTGATATTTTCTGCCACAGAGAAAGGCAGAGTGGAAAACCAGAATTTGTAATACTACAGCATGTATTTTATTTATTTGTTTATTTATTCTTAGGCTCTCTTTTGTCCCCATCACCACCATCCTGGTGATGTATATTTCATTTGCGTGACAGTAGGCCTTTCACTGAATTATTTGGCACAGTGAATGGGGAAGTCCAGTGTATAAGCTTCCTCTTGTTAGCTGTGATGTAGCACTTGTGAAGTTCCTATCTCAGTTTTCTTCCCAGTTTCCTTCTATTTCAATTTGAAAATGTATAGAAAGGAAAAACTGCCACTTTTTCCGGTCTGTGAGACTTGAGTAGAAAACAGTACAACATCTGTCATAT